GTGACGGTCCTGGCTCGGTCTATCGTCGATGGGGTCAGCGTGATGACTTGACCGGATGCCTCCCTGCATTAATCAGTCAGCAGCATCCTCGGATTGTTGTGCATGTAGGATCTAACCAAGCTGCCCAGCTCAGAATTATGCTAAAGAGGTGAAGCGAACGCATCTTTCCATCTGGTCGTTCAGTGGAGGAGTGAAGGATAGATGCCAAGTCTATGATTGAGAGCTCAGCGCAGGCTATGCGAGAATCTACCAGTTTCCGAGAAGACCATGACAACAAATTGGTATTGCTGGTATATTTTTTCTTTCTTATAGTTGGGTGTCATTCAAAGGAGACAAGTAGGCGTTTACGAACATGCTCAACCACAACATACACGGGATTATAGTGGCTGCTTTAGCTGTACTTGCTAGCCAAACTTATCCGGCTTCGGGTCTGATGGGATATACAACATAGCCTTGATTGAGTTGAGTTGCGAGCCAAGCTGAACAAAATCAGCCTATAGGAAAGAAGAACTGGAATTAAACGTGTAGCCGAGTGTAAGATTACTTCTAGCCGATATAGTTGCATGGCGGCTGAACGTGGGACTGCTCTCATGAGGGTGAATGCAACAGCACAGATCCAATCAGAGCTGTCATCCGAAACCTAACTTGCCGCATCTGGCAATTCGGAGGCAAGCGACATTGCGTGCAGGTCGCCTCAGCAAACCGCCTTTTCTACGTTGGCAAGGTTGGGCTCTGTTGGTAAGCCCCATCAGACGAACCATGGTGCCATCCCAAATGCAATAATGCACGAACACAGACGCATTGATTGACAGTTTGAGATTGGTCGTTTCATCACTCCTTCTCCTTCTCGAAAGATGAATAGTGGAATCTGAAAGCTGTACAGTACTGACGCGACATTTTGAAGGACAGTCGAGAGGGTTGCCCGCAAAGTCTGAGGCAAAGGCAATACAACTATAATTCAATTGCTAATGGTGGTATATATAAATGGCTGATTCAGAATTCAGCCGGCACTCTGGCCAGCTTAGCACCTCCAGGAGGTGATCTGGTTCTCGTACTCAACGGTGCGAGGGTCGTCGGGAAGAGCGACGGCCAGGTTGTAGTTGTAAGACGAGGTGAGGCCGCGGTCATCGCCCTTGTTGTTGCAGCCCTTGTACCTATGGTGTATGGTTAGTATGCCTTATTTGACAAGTTAAAGCTCATCTAAAGGCTACTTACTTGTAGAACTGGCACTTGCCACCGGTGTTGGTGGAGAGGGAAGAGACCTGATCGTTGAAGCGGTCGCTGATCGCGGTGGAGTTGGCGGCCTGGAAGTTGAAGTAGGAGACTTCACATCCGAGTCAGCACTTATTCATCTCATCACAATCGCAGAGTATGGTTTACTTACCACAGTCGCCGGGGCTGGCGCCGAAGACAAGGCAGTCACCACGGAAACCCTACTTCTGTCAGTACTGCTTTGCAACTAGTCGAGTTATTTCTCAGAGCTTACAGCATCGGTGCACTGAAGCACAAAGATGGTCTCGGGGTTGGTCTCGTTGCGGTTGGGGTCGGGCTCGCCGTCCTGGCGGGTCTGGAGCTGCTTGGGAGCCAGGACCTCGGTGTTGAGGAACTTCTCGTAAGCGGCAGAGTTGACAATGTCGTTGCCGATCTTGATGTTGAGGTCGGAGCCGGTGTTGCGCTGCGCAAGGGGCTTGCTGACGGCGGCAGCAGAGACGGCGGTGGCCGCGAGAACGAGGGTAGTGAAGCTCTTCATCTTGGATGGAGTTTTGTGTGTTGTTGGAAGCGAACGTGTGTAAGTTTGTTGTTGTAAAGAATGTACTCGTTGGACGACTTGCGTTGGCTACGGAAAACTTCAACGTCAAAGCCCACCAGCCGAAGTGAAGTGAAGTGAGCCGGCTTATTTATCTTGACATACTGTAGGACCGGATGTCCCGCAGTAGCCAAGAGACAAAGTTTCGATCATAATAACCGCATACAACCTCATCCCAGCCTGCCCCGCGAGCGCCGATGCACTCGGATTCGGTGATATTGCCTGTGGGTCTATACCGGTGCGCCCAATGCGCATCTATTCTCGTGGCACGAACGGCCGCCGGAGGCATTCGAGGGGAAAAAAGGGAGAGATTTTGTTGGCCCGAGTGTTCCGTCAGGACCGTTACGGCGTCCGTTGACGATTTAGACTTCGGAGAGTTAATATCGAGATGGGGCTCATCAGCGTCGCCAACTGCCGACATCCATGACAAGGTTTGGAGTTGCAAAATGAAAACTGTGGAAACTTCAAGGTCACAAAGGGGACGAACAGTCTGGGGCGGACCTGTTCGACGATTGGGTGGGCTTTTTTACCTCCGTTCATCTTACACAGTAGAGTGGTTTATATGTGCTGGCTCAAAGGTTAGTTTATTTGAATTAGCTTTTCGTCTGAACTAAGTCGACTGACTCGAAGATCGGACGGTTTAATAAGGATTCTCCCGCAACGTGAACCTAGAAAGGGGCCTGACTGCGAGGATGTTCATAGTTCTCGCACACAAGTCTCAGTCTTGGCTTTGGTCGTTTGGTCCCATTTCCTCTTTTCCCACCTACTCGGACACACTAGGGAGAAAAAGAATGCCTCAAATCGCGGGGAGAAGAAGGAAGTAGCGTCCGTGGATCTCGATGGACAGTAAGAAAAGTCTCCTAGACTGGTGATCGTGGATCATACTGCATGCACTAACCTAACAGGAAGAGTATCAACCAGACAGACGTTCCAAGGATATTTTCCCTTGACTCCAGACCGCAGTCCAACTGCCAATCTGGGCAATCACTTTTGATTCGGCATTGATCTACCGCCCCGATAGACTTTCGTATTCAATGACCTTTTGTGTCCCGGGGGGTGCCCGCCCGCCCGCCGGCACTGTCCTTTGTTTGCCGGCCTTGAACTCGGGCGGAAAAGTTGCCCAAACACGTCCCCGACGACGGTTCAACCGCCGTTCAAGCACTTCTTGGCAATTCGGGGGTTGCGGAGCCATAGTCTATCATTAGCACACTGACCATTCGGAGGATTCAATTTGTACGGAGAGCTGTCTCTCCCACGTTTGTATCCATACTATACAGTAATCGGAATGATCTTTGGTTGTTGACATCCCGGTCGCTCATCAATCAAAGACCTTGATGGCTTGAACTACTGCATCGCTACGCCTTGAATGGACGAAAATCTCCGTATACCGTCTGTTGTCTGTTGTCATTCGGACTCTGCTCCGTTGACTTTTGTCTTTAATCATGCGCCGATCATTTGCCGCATCGTGTAGCGAGATGCCCAGGGCAATTGACCAAAACTGTACAAATGCTCGCGCAAGGGGGATGGCATAAGGTTGGATTTGCTCCAATCTGACCCACCAAGCTAGACTTTCTAAAGAGTATTATCGAATCTTGGGCTCCTTGAAGCCAACAAAAATAACAGCTGGGCACCTGATATAGTCCACGTGCCTGCCGGGCTGTAGTTGAGACCACTAGCCCAATTCTACCTATTTCTAGCTGGCCTTCCCTAGGAGCTTGACTGACTTCCATACATATCACCTTTCCGTCTCCGTAACACAGTCCTATTGCCCTTCTACAGAAATCATGCTTGTGATTCTAACAGTATGTGAGTATTCAAGTTTCTCTTGCTCACAGACAAAAACTTGACTGCCTCTGGCCATCTCTTGACCGCCACCAATCGAACATGCGACGATGTCGCAAACTTATTAATGTATTCTAAGCTGACGCAAGCCCACAGTTCTTGTGTATGCCTACAAGTTAGTTTCTCTTATGCCAATAATCCAATCGTAAGATTCGTGACGTTGCCACTGGGGCCGTGGCAAGCAAAGTCATAATTCTCTTGTGGCCCGCTAAGTCATGAGAGTCGAGAGAGTTGAAAGTTAAAGTCCCTCCTAAAAACAGCCATCGCGGCGATCTAACTTCTTGAGACTCGGGATTAGACATATGTAGCTTAGTAAGAGGATAAAGACGAGTACTGCCAGTGCAAAGCAATGAGCAGGAGTTTCATTCACCCAGCACCACCTCAGTCTGTCCAAAGTCATCTTGAACTTGGGAGGATTCCGGCCGAGTCCCAATTAGGAAACACGTACTATATCTCTTCTGATTGGCTGTGAGGATTGCTTGTCAGCGCAAAAGAAACCTACGATTGGCTCGTCGCATCAAAGGATTATGATCCATGCTTCCCTTAGATCCCATCCTCGGGATCCTCCGCTTCAACTTCATGAAAGAAGCTCGTTATCTCACCTAGTTAGTCAGGGGAAACGTCGTCTTAAGATATTCTCAAAAAAAAAACCGTACCGTCTGCAGACTTCTGGCTTTCAAAACTCCTGCTCGGTTCTGCTGGTGTTGATGTCCTACCTTATCTTCCGCCATTGTTCCCACCGCATTGAGCTGCAGTAGGCAACGAAATCATCATGGGTACCAAGACCAGATCACTCGAGCCTACGTTCGTGGTTCACAGCTTCCAAGGCGCGCGTTCTCAGCTGCAATTAGAATCGCGGCCGATGGCAAGAGCTTCGTCTCGAAGTACCGAAAAGGGCGAAACAAAGGCGTAAGTAGCATGTGAAAGACTCGTTCGTTCGTGTGGGAGGTCTCCAAGGGTCCATTGTAGCCGACATCGTTGGTACGAGCGTCTGAAGAAGATCTACCAAGGAAGAGCATGTAGCTTCATAGCAGGGGAGCGGGGGCATCTCCCGTTCATTTATGGACCAACAACTAATCACTTCGGGTCTTAGAACTCCATCAAACGGCCAACTTCACGTCTTCTCGCTTTCGAACCGACCCAAGCAGAGCCGTGCGAGCGCGCCAAAGACCCGGAATGGGTGTAAAGAATGCAGGTACGTTTATGTCAACTCTCTTATACTCACCTTTCATTCGTCCCCATCCTCGTTCCTCGTAACCGTTCCCACCCTTGATGAGGAGAATACGGGTCTCACGTGGTTCGTACATGTAGGAGACGCCACATCAAATGTGACTTGGCCAGACCACACTGCATGAAATGCGTCAAATCAAATCGTATCTGCGAGGGCTACCTCGACTCGGGACTGCATCTCACGCCGCAGAGATATAACCAAGTCCAAAACATTTCCCGTCCAGCTGGCGGCGGCAGCAGTGGCGACGGCGGGCAAATTGCCCTTACCGCACAGCGCCGGACCCCTGACCACCGCGTTATGATCACCCCGGGCTACGAGACGGCCCTCTTCCAGAACCAGCGGCAGTGGGACTCGTTTCAGTCTTTCATCGTGAACCTGGAGCAGGGGGCCACCGTCCTCAAGAACCACGTGGCCGAGATGACGCCGCAGTACGCCAACCACGAGATCGCCATCCGGGAAATCTGCTCCGGCATCGGGGCCCTGGGGAAATCCTTCCACCCGGTCGTCGGCGACAGGCTCGTCAGCGCAGAGTACCGTGCCGCGCTGGAGCATTACGGCCACGCTGTTAAGGCCGTCTTCAGCGTCAAGGCGACGGCGTTTACGCTGCCGTACATGGTGCTGACGTCGATGCTGTTTACCACGTTTGAGATGATGGCGGGGAACCCGGAGGCTGCGTCGAAGCATCATAACCATGCCGTTGCTATGATGGATCAGTATATCAGTCTACGGTTGGAGGAGGATGGCGTGCCCTTTGAACAGGTTCGGCTTTCTGAGCTCGAGTCCGCCCTGTTCGATACCTTGCAGAGACTTGATACGCATCCGTGGGCCATGAGTTTCGGCCCAGAGGGGATCCGCGTCACGGCGCGGGCGCGAAACTTCCCTCACGGGTGTAGACATAGATACAAGATGGAAGACATGCCTTCGAACCTCACCGACATCACCGAAGCGTCGCGGTGGTGGCATCAAACGCAACACGCCATGATGCACTCTCTCCACGGCCTCAAATTCAAATCCCCCAACAGCAATCCCTCCGACGGTCCCTCCAACGACGCTGCCATCTGGAAAGAGTCAGCCAACCTCCTCCAAACCTGGCACGCCAGCTTCTTCCCCCTCCTCCAAACCTCGCGCCAGCAACGAGACCGCAACCCGCACCGCTGGTTCCAAGCCATGACCCTCGAGTCCCTCTACGTCGAGAACCTGGCCGCCATCTACAAGCGGCACAAGCTCGACGCCAACGTCCTCCCCGCCGTGACGCCGCTGTACCGCGACATGATCGGCCACGCGCTGCAGCTGGCGCGGAAGGAGAAGCTCAACGGCCTGGAGACGCTGGTGCTCGAGAACGATCTCATCCGGCCGATGGCGTTTGTGGTGTACAAGTCCCGGGCGGACCCGGAGATTATGAACGGGGTGACGGACGTGTTGCAGGAGTTTGTCGGGGGCGTGGGTATGGCCGAGTCGTTGTTGTATGTGTTTGGGTGCCGGGAGAAGAAGATTCCTGTGATAGCGCTCGAACGAGCTTGGGGGTGGTATTTTACGTCTTCGGGGGTTTCTTCTGGGGCAAATTGTCTCGATTACCTGACTTGAGCGAGGAAGTACGTCGTCTCGGATATATAGAATAAGGTCGTAACTGTACTTCTTCACTTGGTACTATTAACTTTTGACGATGGCGAAGGCCTTTCAAGTAAGAGAGATTAGAGGAAACAAATCATTGCTAAACTAAGTACTGGATATCATCTCATCGCGCATAACACATAACTCTTCCAGCCCATCATACCCCCCGCCCAGCCTTACTCATTCAATCACGAATGCACTTCATTTCTCATTTAGAATCCCCATCCTCACCTTGCCCCCCCCCCCCCCCCCGCCCCCCCTTTCCCAACTAATGACATAAACTCTACCCACGTAACGGATCAGGGATCGTCAAACAATCCCGAGGGTTCTCATCTTTTCTGCTTTCAGGGAAGGTTGTTCAACTTAATGCTGTTCTGCGAAGTCGAGTCTTTGCCAGCGTTGTAGTGCTCAGAGCGCTTCGCGTTCTCCTCCATACGGGCAAGTCTCGAGTTACGCTTCTTCTGCTGGCTCTTGCGGTAGAAGAAGAGCGCCGCACCAATCAGCAACCCAACACCGGCGACAGCACCGATGACGATACCGGCAATAGCACCACCGGAAAGCTTCTTGCTTCCGGAGCTTCCGCTGCTACCAGAGTTGGAGGCGGCATTGGTAGACGAGGCGGAAGGCGACGCCGTAGCGGCGATATCGTCCTCGCCTGGCTCGGTGGCGTTGAAGCAGGGGATGCGGGTGTTGAAGTTGGCGGCCTCGACGTAGGTGATGTCGGCGCAGGCGTAGAAAGTCTGGTTATGGGGCGCGTCCCAGTCGGCGCGGTAGATAATTTGGAGGGTTGCGTTGGAGCCTGCTGCGACGGAGGAGGGCGGGTTGGGGACGTCGACGCAGGTGTGGCCTGGGTTCAGGTCCGAGACGGACTGTTCCTCGATGATGGTGGTGAAGTCGCTGTTGGAAGTCGGTTCTTAAGGGGTGTGTCAGTCATGTTGTAATGGGGAGTAGGGGGAGGGGGTTGATGAGGTTTCGTGAGAGTGAAAAGGAGTTGAAGTAGATTAGGATGCTTTTCTGTCGAGCTCATACACTCAGACAGTAAGATGGCGAGGTTTTCGTAGACATACCGTTCTTGTAAGAGATGGAGATCTTGCTGTTGTAGTAGTCATCCTGAGCAACGAGAGCGACCTTTCCACCAACTATTTATCGGTACTCGTCAGTCAGAGGCTCACACAACTTATCAAGTCTTCTTCAAGACTTTTGACCCCAGACTCTTGACTCACCCAAGGGGAACTGGGTTCTGTTGGCAGCACCAGACTTTGAGCCACACGGAGCCTGGTTATCCATGTCTCCGCTCCAGACTCTGTCAGCCGGCCACATGAAGGCGGCGGGACCCATCTCGTCATCCTGCTTGGTGTGCTGAGCACAAGCAACCGAGGCGAGGCCCAGGGCCAGGAACGTCTTGAGGGAGGCGTGCATTGTTGACCGTGTTGTGGGATTGAATCAAAAAGAAGCTTTTTCGATAATGAGACAGAGACGGGTATGCGGCAAAACACGCGATGCCTTGGACCAACAGAGTGCGTTACGAAAGAGATGCGTACGACGCCTGTGGAGGGGGTGGGAAGAATTAAGAATTAAGGGGCGGTTGACTAGCATCCATGGGAACGAACCGGATGGCAACAACGGTCAAGTTATACTACTGCAGGTCTACCTGAGATTTTCTTTCTCTTGCCTTTGCAAGCCGACTGGTTGCATATTGCATGTAACCTGGATGATGGATCTATCTCACATGGTCCTCTTTTCCCCCTCCTTTGGGTTAACCTTACACCAAGCACCTCCGCTCACACATGTCAACGGAAAGAAGATGGGCTCACAGAAGTCACGAAGAGCGGGATATCCGCCCAGAGAGGAGGATCCCGCCCAGAAGGTAGTGAGGGAAAAAAGAAGTCAGGCACGAGTTCAGTTCAGGCTTTCGCCAATAGTGCCCAGACAACCCGCGCCCAGGACATGGCAAGACTTGGCTGATTCCCGTTGGATGGGGTGGGAGGAGGCCACGGCCGCATGGATGAAGGGTGGTGTAGGTGGCGACCACGGAATTCTTTGCATGGAAAAAAGTCTTGGGAAGTACCACTCAAGTCTTTCATAGATTCTGCTAGTATCCCGTAGATTGATAAAACAAAACAGCGGAACTTTTGAGGAGGAGTAAGGTCAATAAGGTCTGGTATCTAGATGGATTGATGGCCAAGAATGTGGATGGACAGGGAAGACCGCCGGGCGGCAAAACCTGGGAACGTGAATACGAAGCAGACAGAAATCAAACCCCCGCCCCGCCTCTATCGATTTTCTCTCTCGCTCGGCCGCCGAAGGGGCCGGATACGTTTCTTTGTGAGGGGATCAAGTGCCTGGACAATTACTGTAGATACCATCGCGACAAGTTCCCTTGGCAAACAATCAGGTTGCAGAGTAGCGTAGGAATGAGTACAACTCTAGGGTGGTGAGATAGAGGGGAACGAGGGATAAACATGGTTGAAGTTCATTTATCGTGTATGCCATGTACCTCACAGCATGGATACATCAAGTACGGACACACACAATCAGAGTTTCGAAAACTCTTTTTCCCTTCACCAAGAACCGTAAGTAGTTTATCAGATCACTTTGTCCAATCAAATGAAGCCATCCGGCCCGCTTGTGTCTCTTGGCAGCATGGAGCAATATATCCAAACAGGGAATGGTTCACCGGACGTGGATGTCTGCCATTGTCTGGGTGGCACATAACTGGCAATGGTTGGCAAAGATTGTTGGCTGATGGCTGGATGGGCTGTCGTTTAACTGATGTGATTGATAAGATTAGATGCATCCTCAAGATCCGCAGCGCTAGGTACTTTTTTACCTTGCCTCACCTTGAACCCACAACTTGCTCTCCGTCTCCTCCAGTCTCCTCCTCCTCTTCTGCCCAACCCTAGTCTGAGTCCGGGCCTGGGTCTGGGTCCTCCTCCGTTCTCCGCTTCAAAAGGCCGCCCGTCGGTTGTTAACCCTAATTAGCCCGGACGCAGCATGGACGGACATGGATGAATCCTCGCAGAACGTTGACTCTGTCCGACCTCGCCCGCAGAAAGAGACGAGAGACCCAACAAGGATCGCGATTCATCCCTTCACTCACGCAGCCCACGCAAGGAATAAACGCCTCCTCACGCCACGAACAGTCATATCCGACAGGGCCGCCCAGCCATTTCTCCCAACTCCACACCTCCCTGATCCCCCAATCACGTACACTGCTCAAGGTGACTGGTCCCTGACTCCCAAGACCACATAGATGAGCCCGTCGACGATATCGGTGAGGCACAGGCGCGCCGCCGCACCTACGGATAGGCAATAGAAGACTAATAAATAAAACGGTTGCCACGGATCAGACAGCCTGTTTTGGGAAGGCCGATTTGTGACGTTCGCTCCTCTCTCGGCCAAACCGCATGTTTTCAGCCCTTGGCATCAGCCATCAGGTCACCCGTTGCTGGGATTTCCGACTTCCGGGAGGAACTCGCTCTCGGACTAACGAGAAGACATCACGGATGAGCGAGCAAGCTATCATGACCATCAACCAGCCTTCTCTGGACGAACCCGCTCTACCGAACGGCGAGACTAGAAAGTAATAGAGCAGCCGGGCAATGGCCGACGCAATCCGCTTCAGTCCATTCTCTCCTCCATCTCTCCCCGCCAAGATCCTCTTCTCAGCTCTTCGCACATACTTCGGGGCTCTAGATTCCTGCTGTCCCGACTCTCACGTCCCATATCCCCCGTCCCCGAGCCTCCACTCCTCCCTCTCGATAACCTCTTAGTCAAAGGGGCCAAGACCCAAGGGTCGCATCCGTACCATGTATGTACACTTAGAGTTGCGTTGGTTCGGCGGGGTACTCACCTCCCAGGCTCCTCTCTCCTCCAGTCATTGCCTCTCCTCTCGACCTCCACTTGAGCTGCAGTTGCCCATGCCATGCCAACGACCACGCATGACAAGGATCTTTTGCCTTCTCTTTACCTTTGGTACGAGCTTTTTTTCTCTTCGGCATCCCGCAAATTACACTATAAGCGCGTTGGGTTTACTTCGGCGATCCGGGGCAAATCCGAGCTTCCACGATCGGATACTTGCTCCTCTCCCTCTAGACTCTACTAGCTGTCCCGACTCCCATGGAGTCTATACGAATAGTCCCGCGCTTTTTGAGGTCCCGCGCGCATTGCTCTGCTCCGCGGACCGTTGGCCATGTACTGCCTTATGTCATTGCCTTGCTTTGCCTTGACTTGCCTTGCCATATCCTGTTCAGATCCTGTCGTATCAACCCCCCTTACACACCCATGGGCCATGGCTCTACCCTGGCTTAGGTCTTCCAGCTGATGGAGACTCTCATCGGCCAAGCTGGACCACGGAAGAGGCCGACATGAGCATCCATTCCCTGGGTTTCCACATTCACAGGCTGGGAAAGCCTAGACTGGATTTTGATGCATGCATCCTCGCCGGCTCTCCTATGCCTGATCCTGTACCTGATTTCCCGTACCTGACTTTCCCCTATTACTTCGTACCTGATGTAGACAAACAACAAAGCCATCATAATCTATAATAACCTCTTTCGCCAACCTTCTTTCTTCTCGTTCCCACCCCCCTCTTCCTCCTCACGCTCGCTTCCTCAAACTTACAACTTGACTGCCATTAAGACAATTCTCCTCCCCTCCAGTCTTCCTCCTCAAGCATCTTCAAGTACTCCCAACTTACCAAACACCCCCCTAATACCAACCTTCAAGATGCGTTCATTCGTTACCTGCACCGTCCTGGCCACCGTCGCCTCCATGGCCGTCGCCCAGGTCCACCCTCGCTTCGAGTACCCCGAGTCCGTTCCCGCCGTTGAGAAGCGCCAGGAGCCCGGTACTCCCCGCTACCAGTGCCACGAGGACTGCGGTAAGTCAATGGCTTCTCTCATAACCTTCACTTAAAAAATAGTCTTCCCCTTCTCGTGCTTCTCAGACAACTAACTCCTTCCCAGGTCTCCTCATCACCCTCGGCCGCGAGGACGGCTTCTGCACCAACTCGGAGTGGAACGAGCGCTACGGCCGCTGCATGACCTGCGCAAACACCTACTCCATCTGGATGTACTACTCCTCCGGCGTCACCTCCGCCGCCGCAAAATGCGGCCTCTCCCCGACCCCCAGCCCCTCCGGAGGCGCCGTCGAGACCACCGCCGCAGCCACCACCGCCGCCCCGGCACCCGCCACCACCACCGCGGCTCCCGCTCCCGTCCCTACCACCGAGTCCTCCGCCGCCGCGCCCCCGGCTGCGTCCACCTCTGCCGCCGCTGAGTCCTCGGCCCCTGCTGCCTCTACTTCCGCCGCCGGCGCTCCCGCCACCACCCTCTCCACCGCTGCCTCTGCCTCTGGCTCCGCTTCGGCTTCCGCTTCCGGTGCTGCAACTACCTCTGGCGCCGCTGCCGGTACCTCCGCGGCTACCGTCACCCGCGTCACTTCCATCGGAACCTCTGTCGTTATTGTATGTGTCGCCTGGGCCTGGTCTATGATGTAGACACAATTCTTTCAGCGGGATGATTTTTGTTAACGTGGTCTCTTTTTCTTCCTTGTAGCCTTCCGGAACTGCCACCCCCAGCACCCCCGTCTTCGCTGGTGCCGGCAAGAACGCTGCTGCCATGGGGCTCGCCGCCGTTGGCCTGGCTCTCGCTGCCTTCTAAGGGAAATTATCCTTGGGAACGATTTGATGGAAAGAAAGCTTGTTTTTGAGAGGAATGTACATAGGCGAAGATGCCCACCACAAACTTTAATATTCACCGGAGATATGGTCATGTTTATGGATGTATGATAGCGAAGATCTTGTTATTATACGATTGGAGATAGTATACTACAACTTAATGAGTCTCCATTACACGATGTGCTAGTGTGTTGAGTCGTGAATCATGTGGTAGATGGCTGAGCGTGTTTTCCCCCATGGACTCAATGTTACTAGTAAGGGTTTCATATTCAAAGTAGGTTAATAGGGCCAAATTAGGCCAGTAGACGATGGTTCTAGTTGACGCACGTTGAGACGTCTTTATCATATTCAGATTGGTAATGTAAACTCAAATTCATTTGTTCATATATGGCAGTGTACATATATGGTTTGCTCATATACGACAGGTATATATGCATGTGTTTATAATTTTGTTCGCTCAGATGGCATTTACTCATCTCGGTTTCCTGCGTCAGAGCCAGAGTCCTCAACGCTCGACTGCTTATCAGATTCCAAAACACCGTACCTAGTCTCAACGTTAGCACACATTCCAACCAAGGAAGATTTCTCGTCATAGGGGAAAAAAGACATACCATGAAATAACAGCCAAACCCATGAACGCAGCCACGCAGCTGAAAAACATGGCAACGTAACCCTTGGGCGTGAACCCCTCAGGCAAAGGTCCCACAGGCCTGTTCTCGCCAGTAAGATCCAGCACGTCCTTGGTGTTACCAGCCGCATTGCCCTTGGTCGGGACCCCACCGGCGCGGCAGGCCTCAAGGTGGTCCTTGGGCACCTCCAGCCCCTGAAGGACATCAGGTGCCTCGATAATAGTCGCAATGAGCCCCTGATCCATATGCCACTCGATATGGCAGTGGAACAGCCACACGCCCGGGTTATTCGCCTTGAAGCGGATGACAAAGTTGCCGTTGCCCTCGACGATGAGGGTGTCGCGACGGACCGGGTAGCGGGGGAAGCTAGCGATGTCCGCGGAGGAGTTGGAGAATGCGCCGGCATCTTCCTCGGAGCGGTGGACGACCTGGAACTGATGGCCGTGGAGGTGGAAGGGGTGCTTGCCGTCGTCTTCGTTGTTGAGGACGATCTCGATGATTTCGTTGTGCTTGAGGACGTGGGCGATGGAGTTTGTGCCGTAGACGCGGGGGTTGGCTGCGTTCGGGGCGCCGACGGTGAGGGCGCTGTAGAGGGAGGGGACCTTGGGGAGGACGTAGGTCTTGTCGTTGAAGAAGGCGCTGAGGGGGTGTTAGTTGTACTGGTGTTTAATGAAGGTAAATTGGACCTACTAGTTCGCGCCGTCGGCGAGGTTGTCCATCTTGACGGAGAGTTCAAAGGAATAGTCGACCTTGTCGTAGATCTCCTGCTTGTCATAGGGGACCAGCCCAAAGTCGTCAAAGGGGTCAAATTCATCGACAGTGGCAGGCTCAGGCAGGGGCTTCTTGTCGTCGTAGACAAGCCAGCCCGTGACGTTGGAGTCCTGGCCATCGGGGATTACGTCAAAGAGCTCCTCGTCCATGGATCCCACAATGGCAAAGTTCTCCGAGGCGTCCTTCTTGGTGGTCAGGAGCACGCTGTAGCGCTGGGCGGGGGCGATGTAGAGCATCTCGGCCTCGGCCTCGTCGGTCCAGACGCCGTCGACCTCGACGACGCGCAGGGTGTGGCCCTCGAACCAGATGTACTGGGAGGCGAAAGCGCCAATGTTGACCATGCGGATCAGGTAGGTCTTGCCCGGCTGGACCTTGACCTGGAGGTTCTGGGTGTCGTTAAGGAGGGCGGCGTTGGGGACGGGCTCGGCGCCGGTGGGGTTCTCGACGCTGATGAGCTCCTTGATGAGAGTGCGGGTGGACTGGTGGTACCAGTCGGACAGGGTGAGGACGAGCTCCTCGTCGTACTTGCCCTCGTAGGGACCCTTGGGGTCGTGGATCAGGAGAGGGCCGCGGAGACCTTCGGGGTAGGTTCCGTCGTTGTGGGCGTGGTACCAGTAGATGCCGACTTGATCAAACTGTAGGATGGAATGAGTATAGGGTTGTGTAAATAGTCTATAAGGAGAACTTACCTTGAAGTCATATGTAAATGAGGAGCCAGGAGGAATAGCGCACTGGGTGACGCCGACGGCGCCATCCATGTGGTTGGTGCCATTCTGGAACAGACCGTGGAAGTGAAGACTGGTGCTCGCGTTACCGAGGTGGTTGTGGACGGTGAGGACGAGTCTATCGCCCTTTGTTGCCTCAATGAGAGGCAGAGGCCACTGGCCGTTTACGCCAATGGTTGGTTTATCAAAGGCGCCGTCGGGGTTTGAGAGAACCCATCCAATGTTCCAGTCAAGCTCGATGGTCTTTGCCAGGGCGGTTGATATGAGAAGCGTGAGGGCGGCGATTCGGGCCAAGATGGCCGACGTTGAGGTAGAGAAGGCCATTGTGACCGGGGTCGCTTCCCGTGTGGTTGTCCGGCCTTGTTCAGTTTACTTATTTGGTGGTGGTGGTGGTGGTGATAGTGGTGGTGGTGCCCTTTTGGCGCGGCTCAAAATGCCCTCACAACTCTCAACTCAACACTCAGCACAAGTTGAGCCTATGTTGCTTCACTTTGGTTGATATGCAGTCTCGCACGGGCGTCCAGATGCGCGAGAGGTGGTCGTGATTCATAGACTCGTTGGAAAAATCCCACAAAAAAAGCTTCTACGAACCGGGCCGAGCGCGGAGGAACATTGGACGTCCGAGACTTTTTGACAGCGGGCGGCGGCAATCGAGGGAGGGGTGGGCAGCTGTACTCCGCAGTATCAATGTACGGAATACACCAGACGCGAGGGCTCGGAGAAAAGAGCAAGTGGAAGCGAGGAGGGGAAACTCGCAGGTGAGAGGAGGAGAGTGAAAGTGAGGACTGAGGAGTGAGAATGAGAGTGAGAATCAAAGTGAGAATCAAAGTGAGACACGTGAAAAAGGGTCGTGTCGCCTGATTGAAAATTGCACGAACGACTGGATTGAAATCTTGGCGATCTGATAAGGAAAAGCCGCCGTTGCCTGCCCGGTCCTTCCCTGAAGAGTACCCGCTATTTGGTGGGGGGACTGCCTGAAGTGTGCCGCCGGTGGGCGGATCGAAGGGGAGGTACTCCATTCTTGGGGGGGGGTTTATCTGATCCTAAGGATCGAACACGACCACTACAGCATTGTTACAGCGTGGTGCCCCCCCGGGTGAAGCCTGTCAGAGATGCGCCAGCACCGACGCCAGCGCACCCGTTCCCATGGCCAGGTGGCTCAGTCAGCAGGCAAAACCCCCCGAGGACCCCTGCCCCACTCACATCATTCATCCTTCATTCCCATCGTAGCACTACCTTACACCAAGCAGTACCTACCGAGGAGGGTACCTAGAACTCGGCTTTACGACGCCAGCCGAGATCGCTGGCGCGATAGACGACGGTGAAAATCGGCGGGGACCAAACTGGCAGAGAAAAAACTCGGAATCCGCACTCTCACGCGACACCTTCACCTCGGCGCCCCGAAGCCACCACTTCCTCTCTCTCTCTCTCTCCGTCTCGTTGATCCTCGACTAAGCCCCGCCCGCGTGCCCGTCCCGTGTGCGTGTCATTGCTAGGTTATTGCCAGTGTCAGCCGTGTCTGTTTCTCAGTCGGCAGAGCCGCTTAATCCTGCCTCGAATTCTCATTCACGTCCCCTCATCCCACCTCACCACATCGTCGCCCAATATTCAACACCACCACCACCACCTATTGCGGCTCTCAATCCTGCAATGCCCTTGAGACGTGAAGCAACGCTATAACCTCTTCACCGTTTCCTAACTCACTGAAGACCGTTCATCTCGCTCTATACACTTAAGCGCTGCAGCCGCATCTTAAGCGCAGCCGCGCCTCATTTTCACTGGGACATTGAATTATCTCTCATCTCATCCCATACCAAGTCGTCAACTCATCTTCATCTCACACACTCACAAAACGAGCACATCACAACCACAAACTCACAATGGAGGACCTATTTTCACTTCCCAGTTTGTAACCTCCTATCCCCATCATACTCACATATCACTCACAAAAACACAGTCTTCTTCATCACCTTCCGCGAGTCCCTCGAAACCGCCATCATCGTCTCTGTCCTCCTCGCCTTCATCAAGCGTACCCTCGCCACCAAAGATGACCCCGTCCTCCACCAAAAGATGGTCAAACAGGTCTGGCTCGGCACCGCCGCCGGCCTCGTCACCTGCGTCGTCATCGCCATGGCCATCATCAGCGGCATCCACTCCCTCGGCGCGGAGCAGTTCGCCGCCGCAGAGAGCATCTGGGAGGGCATCTTCTCCCTCGGCGCCTCCCTCATCATCACCGCCATGGGCGCCGTCCTCCTGCGCGTCACCAAGCTGCAGGATAAGTGGCGCGTGAAGCTGAGCAAGGCCCTGAACGCGAGCGAGTCTCACTCGGGCCCCTTCCGCGACCGCTTGAAGTACCTCGGCGAGAAGTACGCCCTGTTTTTGCTGCCTTTTATCACTGTCCTACGTGAGGGCTTCGAGGGTGTGCTCTTCATTGCTGGTGTTGGCGTTAGCGAGACTGCCGCGTCCATTGCCATTTCGTCTATTCTTGGCCTTGCGCTTGGTGCCTTTGTTGGCTACTTTATCTACAAGTGAGTTTAATCGTGATGAATCTTGACGTTGCGCTGCATCCGTGCTGACTTTCTCAAAAAGGGGTTCCAAGACGGCGCCGATCCAAATCTTCCTCATCGTCTCAACCTGCTTCCTGTACCTCATCGCCGCTGGTCTCTTCTCCAAGGGTGTCTGGCACTTTGAGCAGAACGAAGTACGCAGGCCCCCCATCCTCAACCACAATTCCAGGTGAATACTAACTTGAATCCCCAAAGTGGAACAAGATTGTCGGAGGTGATGCAGCAGAACTCGGCTCCGGCCCCGGCTCCTACGACGTCCGCAGAAGCGTCTGGCACGTTAATGTAAGATTTCCTCCTCTCCTCCCTCACGATGTCCCTTATTCTGATGCAACACGCAGTGCTGCAACCCCGACCTCAACGGCGGCGGCTTCTGGGGCATCTTCAACGCCGTCCTCGGCTGGCAGAACTCGGCCACCGTTGGCTCCGTCGTCTCCTACAACCTCTACTGGGTCGCCGTCGCCGCGGGCTTCTTCGCCATGATTTGCAACGAGAAGGGGTACTGGCCGTTCGCCGGCAGCAAGGCCAAGAAGCTCGCCGACGAGCACGAGGGCGACGATCAGGAGCCGCTTCTCAGCAGGCCTGCTCGGTAAGTTTGATCCGATTCGATTCGGCCCCTCGGCGGCCGAAAATTGCGAGACTTCTGTGGGGGTTCCGCATCCCCCCGGTGACGTTACCGAAAGAGGAGATGTGACTCCCAAAGGCGATCTAGTATTTTGGATCATGTACAAAGTGGTGAAGCTCCGAAAACGCCTTGATATTAAAAATTGAAGAAGATAGTTATTTATCGTTGCTATATATTGTATATACGACTACTTATGTATCCAAATCTGCAAATATCGATCGCTTGGCCCTGACCTGACAATTCTCTGTAGACTACTTTCATTTGGATTAGATGCGTCTTCCACTTCAGCAAACAGACCCAAGCTGGCCTGATGCGCCGTGCTTTGCACCAGATCACGTCTGCTCCGACAATAGATCCATAGACGGTGGGTAATTATGAAGAGTAATGTAATGATGGTACTACGATATTTTTATTGTCTTTCTTCTATTTTCCTCCCGCCCTTGGCTTAACTACAATCAGGTGCCATATTCAGGACGCATTACTGTAAAATCGTTTGTAATTCTCGTGTCTTCTTTCCTGTATCATTACTGTATCACCATATTTGTAGGTTTCTCGCCTATACCATCTCTTTCACCTTGGCATTCTGCCCAATCAACCAGAGTAATAAAACTTTTGGTTCGCAGGCGTATCATAGATAGCCCTCCTCAAAGGACTCTCGAACAGGCCCCGGATCGCGTCGATATCGTATCCGGCATTGATAGCTAGCTGCAGCATGATACGCGCCTGTTCGCCGCCGAGGTAACTCGAATAGATCCTAATTGTCACCTGTGTCAGCGAATATTCGAGAGCTTCCTTTCTAGCAAACGCAGGATGGGCTTCAATGACTGGGTGACAGGGAGACTTCACGTACAGCGGCCCGGGAAAAGGACTGGGGACGCCGGTGCCCGTGACGGGTCGCGCGACGGCGATGGTAGGTATCCCCCGCTGCTCCAGCAGCTCCGCGGCCGCGGCCCGGGCGCTGGGACTTACGGCTGCCGCGCCGGGTCCAAGAATCACTAGGCCTCTGATGATGTAACGTCAGCTTCGTTTTCTCCTCCATGTCGACAAATTTTGCTCTGCAAACCCGGGGACGGAGCTTACTTTGCGCCGTTGGCGACGGCAGCGTACATCAACGAAGCGTCAAATCCCTCTGCAAAGGTCCAGGGTCAATTTCTTTCCTATATCCCAAAACTTCTTCCTCGTGCGCGGGAAGAAAGAACTGGATCCAGACTCGGGTTTGAAAGAAACTCACGGTGACCGTAAACGATAATCACAGAAGGCAACTCCGTCACACCCGTAACATCAAAATAAGGTCGTCCCGTCGGATAAGCCGCGTCGAAAAAGTAATACGGCTGCCCCGCGAGAAAGGCCCCGAGGTTCCCCTGCTCAAGGGCCTTGAATGTGTCTGGCGTGTTTGCGTTTACTTTGGTGGAGTAGTAAATTGAGGTTATTCTGTTTCAGGTGCTTTGGTCAGTTGAAGTTGCTTTTACTCTCTGTTTCTTTGCTCTTTCACCCTCTTTCGACTGACCAGGGATTTGTGCGCTTGCATGCTTGCGAGTGATGGAAAGCTTGCGAGAGAAAACTTTACCTGTCATTGAAAGCGATGAGACCCCCTCGATCACGCGACGAAGGCGAAGCAGCAGCCGCAACAGCCTGATAAAAATTCGCGTGTCCGTCAGGAGAGACATAGGTATCAGGCCTCATGGATCCCGTAGCGACAAACGGCTTGGAGCAATTTAATGTCAAATCCACGCCAAAAGCCTAGGTCCTCTCATCAGCTCACTCTCTCAACCCGCAAGACATAAATCACACACCGTCTCTTCCAAGGTATTCGTCCCATGAAACATCATCGCACCAGCGATATCACTCCCCTCAGAACACACCTGTGCGTTAGCGAGCTGGCTGATGTTGAGATACAGCGACGAGTTCAACCCCGCGCTGCCGCCGGGGGCATCGAGTTCCACGACGGCGAGCTGCGCGACCTCGAGGACCTCGGAGACGTTCCCGATGAGGTCGTAGGGTTTTGGGAAGGGCCCGGAGCCGTAGGCTATGTTGTCTAGGCGGCTGTAGTTTGAGGCTGAGAGGATTGTGCCGCCTGCGCTGTAGATGCTGTCGTGGCTTGGGTCAGTGGGTGGTGTTGTACGTAGGAGGTATTGGGAGTGGTTATGAGAGTAGTTACGAGGGGTAGTGGAAGGCTCACATTACTTTTGGGAGGGAGGATTTTGTTGATATCCATTCTAGGTCCCATGCGTTTTTCGATGAAGATCTGGCGATTGGGGAGGCGGATGTGACCGTGGCCAAGGCCAGCGCCGTGACGAGGAAGCTGGTGATCATTGTTGTCAGGGCAGCAGTCTACGATAGATCACGACAGTCACTGGATACCGAGACTGATGTCTGAGAAGAAGCTTCATTTTGATTGACGAGCCTGCAGCTACTTTATACTCCCCAAGCCTGGTTAAGAGATCACTCTGCGCCGTCTCCATGATTGCGTGGTCTTTGGTGGAGGATCCTGCGCAGCCTGCACTATTCCAAGCGATTGGTCATATGGATCTTTGCAACCCTGAGAATCACCAATGACGAGGTCCTACATGACGAAATGGGATAAGGTCTATCAGCGAACTCGTAGTCTTATCTCGGCTGCTCTCGCATGCGGCCGACTCTGTGGTGCCGGGATCACCGGTGGGAGGACTTGGCAGAGAGACTGATACTGAGAACCAGAGCTGGTCTTTCTATTCTCTCTTCTCCATTATACGCATGTAGTCGAACAAGATACAGGACCTTTACTAACGGTATCAGTACCCATGTCGGAGACATCAGCCGGCTGCAGATATGCTTATCCCGGAAGAGCATCGGGCGCCGTCCGGGTGGCGTTATGTTGCGGGGTAGCGCGGGGTCCTGACAGCGGGGCACCAGACGCCTGGATCGCGTGGGAAAGCTCCGAAGGCCGGTTCCTCACGGCCCGGGTTTGCATATTTTTTGAAAATTTGCTCTTACGTAGAACCAGTATTCCTTTTGATTTTCCTCGCCAGTTCTCATGCAGAGTTGCTCTTCCTCTCGTTGATGCGGCGGCGGTGAGGACACAGCAAGGAAACCCGTGTTCAATCCGCAGCTGGACCAGACAAATTGATCCTAACCATGGCACGAACGAAACTTATGGCGTGCTAACATCGCAGTTCACACAGGATATAACTACAATTATCCAGTCAAGGCAGATCTGCTATTCGCTAGCATCAAGTACAATCTACCACACAAATCCAAGCGACGCTTTAGAACATGAATCATACTTTCGTAACCGCCCCATCGGACAATCCCAACCCAGGCCGCCTTTACGCAGCACCGCTCTTCTTCTTCTCAGCTTCGCTCGCAGCTCCAAACCCTAGCGCCTTGTTCAGGAGAATGTCCACAGTGGATGATAATTCGCCCTTTGGCTTGCCGTTGCTGCGAGTACCGCCGGCGCTCTCGCCGCTGCTTCGGTTCGTCCCCCCGGAACTATTCGTGTCTTTGGACTCTTCGGAAAGGTTCCTATTCAATCTGAACATTCTTTGTCAGCTCTATAAGCCCCTTCTACTAATATTACCATAGGAGAGGGATGATTTACTGGGTCTCATGGTGTTGACTCATCTTAGCTGGTGGTGGTGGTGCTGCCGCTGCTGGTGGTGGTGGTGCTTGTGTAACAATAGGTGGTGATTGTTTGACAGCAGGAGTACGAGATTTTCCACCGGCCCACGGATCGGTTTGTATGAGGTTGGCGAGGGAGTCAGGCATCTTAATGCTCACTGCTTTCATGAATAACGTATCCATTGTGACGTATATTGAGATGTTTGATAGCTTCTTGATGGTCGTGACGAGTGGCGGAATAACTGGGCACTGGTCCCGTATCTACGTAACATCAATACAGGAATTCATGCCCGGGCCATCATCCCTTTTTAAACTCCCCATCAGAATTGTAACCGATTGTACGTCATTCAGGGTCCGATGTACGCTGATCCGACAATGGCACCACCATCGGGCTGAGAACAGGGATGTATAGAGTATCGGAATGTCTGGGGATTCTGGACGTGCCAGGGATATCGCAGTTCGTTGTGGTCACGCGCCATATCATTAACGTGAGCTGTAAACTATATCCTTATCTCGCAGATAATCTCTCTCCATGAGTCCGGAAGACTCAGCCATCTCTGGAAGATCACATGGCCCAGCGAGGCCGCCGTCCTGGAACATGAAATTCGACTCTCTTCATCAAGACGCTGGATCGTCATCATCTCCCTTTCCCCCTTTATACTCGTAGATGAGGCAACCGACTTTCTTTCTCCCACCAACACCGCCATTGCCTTTACCTATCATGGCAGAAGAAACATAAAAGCGTTAGTAACGTATCGTAATCCGTAATCACAAGCCAGGTAGACTCGCAAACACGCCTTGGCAAAAAGCTCAAATCGCAGATTACCATGAAAATCGGTGTTGCTGAAAATAAAGAAAACTCACACTCATAATGCGTAGACCCCATGATCTCATAACACCCCGGCGTCCACACGGGGTCCCCCTCCTCTCCCAACGGGCGACGCACACTCTGTTTCCCGACGGTGACCCTGCAGCCCGCCTCCCACCAAACTCTAAAGTCGTGGTTGACGCCGTGCCAGTCCCGGTAGCGCCAGCTCGCGTTGCGGGCTAGGCGGCCGTCGCCGTCATCGTAGGCGGCATTTGTCGGGTCGTCGGTCGCGTCGAGGACCTGCGTCGTGTCGTAGCGCTCCTGGCAGAATTTGTAGACGCCCTCGAAGAATAAGTTGGGTTCGATATCGGCGTGGCCGCGGAAATCGGCTTCGTTGTGGCATTGGACTGGATGCATCTCGGGTTCGCGAACGGGGGTGAAGTAGGATCGAGGGGTTATGTCGGGGAGCGAGGCGTGGTTGGTGTAGGGGAGTAGGTTTGCTGTGAGGCTTATAATCAAGGTATGTGCGAGAAGAAGGTAAAGACTGATGGAAGGCATGATTTATTCGGCGCTCAAAAGAGTATTGTAGGACGTTGATACATGAGAATTTGATTATACGATTCGGGGGACCGGAGAGCTCTTCGTGTTGGTCCACGTTGCTGTACTTTGTACTTCGTGTTTTATATGAGCATAGAAGCAGACTGGCTTCAGAGATTGATGAAAAGAGTTCCGTTCTTGAATTCAAGGGAGCGACAGGCTCGCCGAAAGAGCTCGTAATACGACTTTATAGTATCTTGTGATACCCGAACCTACATTGATTGATCATTTGGCGAAGCACAAAAGCCGCTTGCGATACCCCACGCAAGTCCCAGTCTGGTAACGATAGAGGACCCTTGAAAGAATCAGCAGAATGAGCCCGGGCTGTCTGCTGAAGTACAGATAAGGTCTCATTGTTCGTGTCTACTTGACGTACTCGCCCTTTCGTATCACCAAGCGTTGCCCATACCACTCTCTTGTATGGGGTGTAATGCTGACTGAAGCGAATTGACAAGTGAGCGGCTCTGGAAGTGAAGGCCAAGGGCCAACACGGACTCAAATGCGGCTTCCCTACATTCTTGGCGCAGCTGCTCAATTCTGACTATCCCTTTGCATCGACAACACCCATCAAGTTTACGGCGCATCCAGCTTGGTGGAAACGCCATCACTTGAGACGTTATCTCTCGTCAAGACCATCCACTATCAAGTCGCATCTTGAAGGACGCTGCCTGCAAGTCAGCCATCATGGAATCATCAAATTGTACACTACGGGCGATAGCTTACTGTCTAAGGAGGCATGTGCTGAACTCTCGTCTTCTACGTATCATTTTCCAGGCGGGGTCGTCTCATCTTTTCTGATTAGGCTCCTCTAAACGTCACCTGGCGAGCTTCTTCTCATCTCAAATTAACAGCGACTCATCATGGGAGCTATGACTCTGCAGTCAAAACGTCGCTGGACATGTGGACAAAGTGTCTTACGATGACCGATCTAAAATTAGGTAATTGAAAGTGAAGTGTAAGCTCCTATTACCTCGGCCATCGACGACATGAAGTTGAAGTAAGATGCATCTCCGCGGAGGAAGCGACCGTCTTAGTCAGCTTGCGGCTATGTTAGCACAAATACTTGCGGCAATTCAGTTCATCACCATCATTTACTCTTTTTCTGCCCTGGACACAAGTTAATCACTTGCCTCATGCAATATTAGACATCGAAAACTTGAACCAACTCCAATCAGATCTGAAATCAGGATGTAGTGGACTTCTGGGCTTGGATGAACTTGCGTAACGGTTGTCCGAATAACAACCAAAAGACAACCAATTCTACTAGGTCGAAAGAGATCGTGGGGGACGGGAAGATCCCCGGTACTTCCGCCGCATTTCCGACAAAGTTGGCTCTATATCCCGGCATCTCATCGGCATCCTGGTTGGCTCGCCGTGCGGTTCCGGTCCAAAGGGCGTCAAAGGGCGCCAAAGGGCGCGTGAAATTTGCTGCTTAGATTGAACAGGTCAATCACCGAGCGATGCCAATTGCCAGTTCTCTATGACTAATTCTCAAGTTTCAAACTTCCTACTGCCGCCTCTAAGAAGTAGTTTCGCTGGGGTGCTGCTATTCATTTACCCTTACAACCCACCGCCTAACCTCGGTAAGAACTAAGAGACGAACTAGGAACTTTTGCCCATGAGTCAAAGAGAAAAAAGGGATTTTGGTTACCAAACGGCCTTAAGCCCGAAAGCGCGAGGAAACTGGTTCAAATAGAGTCTTTAAGCTGCCCGCTCCCCGCCATGGCTAGCATACGGGAATGAAAATTCGCTTATTCCCAGAACAACCTAAGTACACGATCAATGCCCATCCAGGTCTATGACGCCACCCTCTCGACATCAGAACGCATGTCGCTGTCGCCGAACAATAGACTGTTATAATGGATAGCAGCATAGAAAAGGAGACGAGGTCCGACTCGTCACGGAACGAAGGTGGCCTCGTAGGAGAAGAGACGCACCGAACGGGGAGCCGCGTCGGACGCGTGCTGAGCCGCATCGCGTCAGCGCCCACTGCGGACCCCGGGCCGCCGCCTGACGGGGGATACAATGCTTGGATGGCCGGTAAGAATGAGTTGATGCCTTTGCTTAAGGAGTGGAGCTGACGGCGGTTATCATAGTACTGAGCGCGCACTTCATCTTTATGGATACATGGTGAGTGAGAAGACGGCGCAACGGGACCTTGAAGTGAAGTGAAGTTGCTGACATGGCGAGAAATGCAGGGGCTTCGTCAACTCTTTTGGCGTCTTTCAGACATATTACGTCCAGAAACTGAACAGACCACCATCAGACATTTCATGGATCGGATCCTTTCAAGTCTTCCTCCTCTTCTTCATTGGCGCATTCTCAGGCCGTTTCACTGATGCAGGGTACTTTCGCCACCTTTACTTTTCCGGCTGCTTTCTCATCTTGCTCGGCATATTTGCAACGTCGTGGTGCACGCAGTACTGGCAAATATTCCTATCTCACGGCGTCTGCGTCGGTCTGGGCTTCGGTCTGGTGTTTTGCCCGTCCCTGGCGACGCTGTCGACTTACTTTGACAAGCGAAGGGCCATCGCCATCGGCATGGCGGCCGTAGGAAGCGCATCGGGCGGCTTGGTGTTCCCCAGTACGGTTCGGCAGTTGCTGCCGCAGGTCGGGTTCCCATGGGCTATGCGCACGCTTGGCTTCATACAGCTTGCGACGCTGACTGTTGGGTTCATCTTTCTGAAGCCGCGCATACCACCGCGCAAAGCGAGTAAGATGGTGGATTTGGCGTCGTTCAAGGAACTGGAGTATACCTTCTATACTGCCGGGGGATTCTTTGTAAGTTACCTTTCGTCTATGAAATCTGAACGCCGCGCGCTGACTCGACCATGTCAAGTCCTTCATGGGGGTGTATTTTGCCTTTTACTACCTGGCCTCTTTCAGCCGAGACGAGCTCGACTTCTCCTACACGGACTCGCTGAATCTCTTGCTGGTTCTGAACGGCATCGGCTTCATCGGCCGTCTCGGCCCAAACTTCCTCGCCGACAAGATTGGCACAATCACCGTCTTCACACCTATGGCCCTGATCTCGGGCCTCTTGACCTACTGCTGGATCGCGGTCAAGTCCCCGTCAGGACTCTACGTCTGGACCATCTTCTTCGGCATCGCGGGTAACGCCATCCAGGCCCTCTTCCCGGCTGGCGTCAGCGCCTTGACGACGGACCCTAGCAAGCAAGGGACGCGCATCGGAATGGTCTTTACGATTGTTGCGTTTGCCGTGCTCACCGGCAATCCGATCGCTGGCGCCATCATATCTGCTACCGGCGGTCGATACCTCGGCGCCCAGGCTTTTGCTGGCAGCTGTCTGATGTTGGGGACATTCTTCTTAACCTTGGCGCGAATAGTGAAGACGAAGAAGATTGGCAAAGGCTGGTTTGTCAAGGTCTGAGCTTTACCATTGGTAGTGGTGAAAGCAAGAAGGAGAAAGCTGTACAATAATGTATAAAGCCGAGTGTAGATATCTAAGGCATCTTGCTGTATTCCATACTCGAATACCGGCAAAGAGTCTCACGCAAGTTAGGTCGTATCAGTTACAACGGCTGTATCTTCGCTAGAACTCATAGACCGACCCCGAGAGAGGCTGACTGATCCCAATTTCCTGGGCTATGCTTGACTTTATAAGCCAATTCGAATAGCAATATCAATAGGGTTGCTTTGCAAGCTGACACTACCTTGCCATTCAGCGACACGTGATAGAACGCTTAGTCGACTTGGCAGGGGCATAAACGAAGTTGCCTTCTCCGTTTAGGAAATCGGTCAATTGGGCAGCGCTTGGCTCGTCCCTTTGACAGGCGTGGATGATACTCCATAGTCACCTTGGGTTGGAGTAGGCGCCGTGGTGCCGGTAGCCGTGTTCCCGGCAAAAACAAGGTTCAAGGCCCCGATAGCATTCTTGATAAACATCACGCCACCGTCAATTTGAGACTGACACGAATATTTTAGGAAGGTTACATATAGTGACCAAGCAATAACTAGCCGCTTGGGTCGTGCGGGTGTCAGCTAGACTGCACGTGGCTCACAGGATCACACACAAGGTTTGAGATGCTTAGAGAACATTTAGTAGGCTAGATGTAAAGTGTATCGTCACTACGAAGTTGTAAAGACTGCCATCGTCATCATGATGCATTTTGGTAAGCCATCCTCCTCTAGGATACTTGTAGAGATACCCTGCGCAACTAGACTACACTTTTCGGAAGAATTCAAGCATGTTGATTGCTTCATCTGAATCATTTCAGCAACTGCCGAACCTAGATCCGCCCAAGCTCGATGAATTTGTTGAAATCTGACTCGCCAGAGCTCCACCCCGCCATGGTGGACGGACACCGATACCAACAACAACCATGAACAAGAACAGCACATTTCTTGATTCAAATCAAACGGGAGCCGGACGAATTCTGCGCCTCAGTGGTGTCCGTGGTGATCCAGATCCACGTGCCCGGAGCCGATTATCTGTTTGTGGAGAGAGCATCGTCCACCATGGTCACTTGGCCCAGTTTTGTCATTGCTGACACGACGCCACAGAGGAAGGGATGTTGTCGACTCTTTAGTCTTCTCGCACCCAGTGCGTGGGCCAAAATGTGGCAATGCTAAATTTAACTTTAATGTTGATAGCCGATGTAGATTAAAAGTCCCATCTCTGTTCCCACCCCGATTGGCCACGCCAACATCTTGGCTCTAGAGCTGCCCCGTTTGGAACAACGGTCCTCTAGAAGCCTGCAAGGCGGGTGTCATGCAACGTGGGTGCTTAGTTCGGACCAACTTTTTTGATGGACATTCGTTCCTGTTTGAGAAGTCAGAAGCTAGCGAATAGTTCACCCGATCCCATTGCATCCCATCTACTTGGAACTGCAGAAGCTTGGTAAGGGTGTATTCTATGGATCTTGTTGCCGGCCTCGACCAATATGCTACACACGATAGCCTCCCTCGAAGATGGATAAACGGCCCTAACCGAGAACAACAATCCTTGAGAATATCGGCTCCGATGGGTAATCTAGAAAAGGGATATCAATTCTCTCCGAGGCTCCACGGCAGCCTGCCGCCTTTAAATATTCTCCTTCTGCCCTGCATGTTCAGTAAACATATAATCTATGAGGGCCGGCTTCAAGTTCCGCGGGAGGATCTACTTTGTCAAAAAAGCTAAAGGATCGTGGTCTCGAACGTTGTTCATCCGGTTAAAGTTGCAATTACGGTAACACCCAGTAACAGACGTCATGGCCGTCCTCAAGCACTGCGTCTGGCTCCTCTTTGCCGCCGGCAACGCTGCCCTTACCTCTGCCAAGACCACAACCCACAACTTTACGCAGACGGCGATCGACAATGGCGATGCTCTCAACCAGCTCTCAGCGCAGGCTCTCGAGGCCTCAAAGGCCCTGAACCAGCGGATGGGTATCAACTCGACCTGCACGCCTGAAAAGCTGCGCGTACGGAAAGAATGGTGAGTTGTGTACGGGGACCCTGTTATTCGAAGTACGGCATGCTGATATTTGGATATCCAGGAGAACAATTCCTGCCGAAGAGCGCATGGCGTACGTCGCCGCGGTCAAGTGTCTTCAGTCTTCCCCCAATCTGTTGAACGCCACGGAGCTTCCGTCTGCAAAGTCATTATACGACGACTTTGTTCTGACCCATCTCAACCAGACTGGAATGATTCACATTACGGTATGTCAAGCTGGGTGCCACTCGAAATACAATGGGGCTGACTGAGTGGGACTACCTAGGCGAACTTCCTCCTTTGGCACCGATACTTTACATGGACATACGAGGAAAACCTCCGCAATGTCTGCGGCTACACCGGTTAGCACTCCTCGATTCCTCCACAGGGAACCAACTCAAATCTGATTACCCGCGCAACAGGAACCTTCCCCTACTGGGAATGGGGTTTCGATGTCGAAGACCCAGCCAAGTCCCCTGTCTTCGACGGCTCAGAGACTTCCATGGGAAGCAACGGCGCGGCCACCGAGCACCAGGGCATGCACCTCCTCCAGAGCTTCACCAACACCACCATCATCCTAGAGCCCGGCTCGGGCGGCGGCTGCGTGGAGACCGGACCCTTCTCCGACATGGTCGTCCACGTCGGGCCCAGGCTGCTATGGCAGTACGGCACCACGACGCCACTGACCGTCGACAAGCCGACAGATGACCATCCTCGCTGCCTGAAGCGTGATCTTAACAAGCACATTGCTTCCCGATACGCTTCGCTGCGGAATACCACTGAGCTGATCCTCGGTAATGACAACATTGAGTGGTTCCAGGCGGTTATGCAGGGTGATGACAGGTATACGCCGGGCAGCGAGGTCGGCGTTCACGGAGGAGGTCACTACACGATAGGAGGTAAGTTTTCAAGACTTTGTCTGCACATCGTGACTTGGACAGCAACTGACTTTGCGTATAGGCGACCCCGGCGCGGATCCCTTCATTTCTCCTGGCGAGCCCGCCTTCTTCCTGCACCACGCCCAAATCGACCGCGTCTACTGGATCTGGCAGATGCTTGACTTTGCCAACAGACAGGTACGTCGGAAACCTCATGGGAGAAGCCTCAAATTCTCACTTGTATTATGATGGAGAAAATACTAACAATTGCTTTCCTGAAGGACATCTTCGGCACCAGGACATTGCAAAACAACCCGCCGAGCGCAAACGCTACCTTGGACGACCTCATTGACATTACCCCCATTGGCGGATCGGCTAAGCTCAGAGACCTGATGAGCACTGTCGGAGGATCGCCGTTCTGCTACGTCTATGAGTAAAAAGCGAGTTCGCACCACGGGTATCTACTTCCCAAACAACTGACATCTCTGTATCATCTTCTATTGTACATAATTCAGCTGTAAATAGCACCCCTGTACAACCATCTGGCTACTTTGAATATACAGACTACAGTCTTGTTACACCAAGTGTCATTGATACAGCATGCTCACGGATTGGATGATTCAAGCCCAACCGCCGGTTGGTGCCGAAAGATCGGGATGGCGACTGCAACCTCGGCCGTCACAATTGCAACCTGTGTGGATAGAAGATTGCGGCGTCATGGATTCATGTGTCAATTACCAGCCAGTCGGCAAGGCAAATGATACGACGTTTCCTAAAGCGGTTTAGGAGGGACATGCAGAGTCAAGAGTGGCTGACACGATGGGAGAAAAGCATCTCGTCTTATTCGATCCCGCTGAAACCCTCCGCCAGGGAGCGTTCATCTTATGAATCTTGTCACCCTAAAGAGCATGCACCTGAGCAGCATGGATGATGCGATGGCGTGAAAAGGGGAAACAGGGTATTGTTGCGACGAAAAACTCTAAATGTGCGGATGATACCCCCGGCCGCGGAGGATGACCGCGGCAGTTTAAAGGGCTGTGTTAAACTTACCGTAGTAAAGAGGGGTGCTTTCTTTTGCTCTCAGCTACGGGGACTGAGATCCCTGCCCGGGGATCATATGTCCATCTTGAAATCTTTCCTCCGAATAGAGTTCGTTGTTCTGGAACACGACATCCGCGACAAAATCGCATCAAAAACCGGTCCTGAAACCCCCGCACCCAAACTCCAAACCTGCGGACAGTCCGGAGAAGCTTTCAAAAGGCCACAAAGCTGGCAAGCCGGGTGCACAAAATGGCCCTCGAGTCAATGAAATACTCCGGTCTGGTTTCGGTTTCGGGGCTGTCAGTCTGGTCTGATCTAATTCAAGTTCAGTCCCTATAACCCTATAACAGATGACAAGACCGCTCGCCAAGTCAGTATGGTCTTCGGATGATGGTTGAATCTCTCTCTTTTGCTGTGATTAGTTATTGGTGATGATTGTGTTGAGTCTGTTCCCATTATCATTTTAATCTAAGTCGGTCACTTCTGTAATAATGCCTTCCCTAACCAAATCCCTCGTTTCTCTTCTTTCGGCTGCAATCATCGGCCAGGTCCAGGCGGTTGACCCGCTTGTCGACCTTGGCTACACCAAACTCCAAGGAGTCGCCGAGCAGGGCGGTGCGACTCGCTGGCTGGGCGTCCGGTTTGCTGCGCCGCCGGTGGGCCAGCTCCGGTTTGCGGCACCGGTTGATCCCCCGAACACGACTGATGTCGTTGATGCTTCGAATGTAGGATAATTTCAAGTGAACTTCGTGGAATAAGCTTCGCTCTGCTAACGAGTTCGCCAGTTCCGCCCGATATGTTTGGCTCGAAGCGCCTCCGACTTCACGATGAAGCCAAACAAGCGCTTCACGACGGACGAAGACTGTCTCTATGTTAACATCTTTGCGCCTTCGAACGCGACACCGGATTCCAAGCTGCCAGTCATGTACTTCATCCAAGGCGGCGGGTTCCAGTCTCTTTCCAACGCCAACTTCAACGGCAGTGATCTGGCCAGGTTTGGAAACATGTTGGTCGTTCAGGTGAACTATAGAGTTGGTATGCGATTGAACTATGAGACATATTGCACCGCATCGTGAGCTCGGAAAACAGAGGTTAATATTCACTACAGGTCCCTATGGTTTCTTGCAGAGCAAGGAGGTGGAAGCTGGCGCGAGTATGAACAACGGCCTCAAGGACCAGATCCAGGGGCTGAAATGGTTGAAGCAACACGCCGCTGCTGTGAGCTTTCTTCCAATCATCTCTTGTGTTCCATCCCTTTCTGACTGACCCTGAAAAGTTCGGAGGAAACCCCGATCAGATGGTTGCCGTAGGTGACTCCGCCGGCGCAACCTCAGTAGCCATGCTTCTCGCGGCCTTTGGAGACAACGACCCGGGCCTGATCAAGGGAGCCATCATGGAATCTGTCTCCGTCGCTACCGTCCGTACTCTCGATCAGGGCCAAGAGCAGTACAACTGCCTGACTAACGCCACCGGCTGCAACAAACAAGCCGAGTCCCTCGCCTGTCTCCGCGGCCTCAACGCGACGGCTCTGCAGACGGAGGACTGCCAATTCAACCCCAATCTCGACGGCGACCTCGTCAAGGCGCCGACGCTGCAACGTTTCGCCGAGGGGAAGTATCTTAAGGTCCCTACCATCGCGGGAACCTGTACCGACGAGGGGACCAAGAATGTGCCCCAAAAGACCGACACCGTCGAGGAGGCCTTCAAGAACATGAATAATCAGGCCACGCAGTCCCTCAGCAACGCCTCCCTCGCTCTCCTCAAAGAAACCTACCTCGACAAGCCGCAACCCGTCTTCCCCAATTCTGGTAAACTCTGGCGCCAGCTTGCGACCGCCCACGGCGACTACAGGGCGCACTGCATCACCAAGATCTTCCAGGACGCCATGGCCCGCGACGGCGTGGCGACCTTCAACTACCGCTACGGACCCCTCGACGACGAGCAAGAGGCCCAGGGCTTCGGTGCCTACCACACCGTCGAGCTTAACGGCGTCTTCGGCCCCAACAACACAGACGGCGCCCCGCCGAAGAGCTACTCAACCACCAACGCGCCCATCGTGCCGCTGACGCAGGCCTACTGGGCCAGCTTCGTCCGCAGCCTCGACCCCAACGCCGCCAAGATCCAGGCGGGTATGCCGCAGTGGGCGGCGTGGACCGTCGATGGGAAGCAGAGGCTGCTGTTCCAGAATAATACGGGGACGATGGAGGGCATGCCCGCGGCGCAGCAGGATAACTGTGCCATGCTGGCGCCCATGATTCCGTTCATCGAGACGCCTGCGTCGGATGCGCAGAAGGCGTCTGTGAATCTGCAAAAGGTGTCTGGGGCTACGATACCGCCGGCTGGTCAGCCTGCCAAGGCTCCGGCTGCTGGTAGTGGCGGTGCCGGCATGAATATGGGTGATTCCATGTCTGGCAAGCAGATGGAGATGGAGTCAGAGCATGGGAACAAACGCAATGGCACCAAGCACGGCGGAGGTGAGGGCGGCGGCAAAGGTGGTGGTAAAGACAAAGGCAAAGGGAAAGGCATGGGACACAAGAATGGTACGAGCCCTGATGCCCCGAAGCATGGAGGAGAAGGAGGTGGAAAGGGTGGCGGTAAAGGCGGTGGTAAGGGGGGACACAAGAACGAGACGATGCCGAAGCCCGGAGGAGGTGGAGGGAAGGGAGGAGGCAGAGGAGGTATGGGAGGCAGAAACGGGACCAACTCTACTCCTCCCACTGCACCTCCTCGGGTTGGTTCTGCTTCCAGCATGGGGTACGGAATCACTGGGGTGCTGTCGGCTACGGTGGTGGTATGTCTCGGGCAGTTACTTTTGGCTTAAGCTTGCAGAAGCAAGGTCGAGATATGTTTGTCGAGAGAGAATTATCAATATTATACAATGTTCAATGCCAGAAACTGCACTTTTGACTTGCCACTGAGATCTATGCTTAACCTTCTCATCTATTCTAAAGCCGTGACTTTGGTGGTCCGGGTTGTCCTACCAGAGCATTGTCAAATAATTGCCCTTGATGCGTCGGTTGAGCAACCAGCCAACCCTCAATGGCAGATACCAAACCTTCCACCTCCTCGACAGAGTTGCCAGCATGGAGGCAAATCCTCACCCGCTCACTCCCCACAGGGACAGTAGGCGCAACGATCGGTCTCAGCATGAAGCCCTTCTTCTGGCAGTGTTGTGCGAGACTCCGAGGGTCCGAAGTGAAGAGTGGTATGATAGGCGATCTCGGTTTCCCGGACGCCAGGTGCATCAGGTTTCTATCAGGCCTGTGACGTTCCAGCAGCTCTAGCAAGAGTTCGTTGGTCTGGTTGATGAGGGACCAGAGATGGCGAAGGAGAGGTTCAGAGTGGCCGTTTGCGATGAAGTCGTACGCCGTCTTGATGCTTGCGAGAGACGTGAAGGGCATAGCGGTGGTGTAAATGAGACTCCGGGCGTAGTTGATGAGGTATGACCGAGTGATGTGGGAGCACAGGACGATTGCTGTTCTTAAAGTAAGCTTCAAGCAGAGGAAAACCCCAGACTGTGAGATGTCAAATATACCTCCTGAGCAACTCATTGCCTTGCCAAACGTGTGTACCCGAGCCCACACCCGATCCTCAAGACCAAGCTGACAAACGAGCCCTCGCCCTCTTGGCCCAAGAAGTCCCGTCGAATGCGCCTCGTCGACAATGACTAGGCCGTTGCCGCGGGGAAGCAGCCGCTCAACACACTCAACCACTTTCTTGAGCGGTGCTACATCCCCGTCCATGCTGTAAATTCCCTCCACGGCAACAAAGACGCGTTTCCGCCCCTCGCGGACCAGACGGCCTTCCTCGCCATCGGTCAACCTAGACAGGACCTCACTCAAGCTCTGTGGCCACTGCTGCTGGGCTTCTGCGGGGTCCACCGTGTTGTGCGCGAAAGCAATCTTCTTCTCCGCTCGGCTCAGCTTCATGCCATCGTGGACACTGGCGTGGATGAGCTCGTCATAGACAATGATATCGCCCGCTTGAGGGGCGCAGCTGAAGAGCCCGACGTTGGCGTCAAAGCCCGAGTTGAAGAGCAGGCCGGCCGGGCCGCGGTGGAAGGCTGCGATATCTCTCTCGAGTGATTCTGCAAGGGACACGTTGCCGTCTAATAAGCGTGAACCACCGGAACCAAGGAGAGACGCGCCGTGGATTTTGCCATTGCCATTGCCACTGCCATTGAGCTTGGTAGTGGTACTGTCATCTTCAGCGTCAACCTTCCGGGAAGGATACGGTGGCGGTGACGGCCCGAGGTGGGCCTTGATCCGGGACAGGTACCGAGCCTGAACCTCGGGGTGGGTCGACAGAGAGAGGTAGGCGTTGGACGAAAAGTCGGCGCTGCCGGCCGGAACGAGGGTCAGCCGCCGGAGCTGGCTCTTTGACTCCCGACGGGCCAGGAGTGCCGCAAAGACCTTGTCCAGACGGTCGCTCGCCGGCATAGTTGAGATGAGCGGTAGTTGTCGGATACTTACCGAGAAACTTTCCAATGAGAGTCGTTGAGCGTATCTACGGAATAGTAGGTGAAGGGGGCAACCACATCAGACCTCGGCACTGGGACTATGGAGTATGGAGCTGTCTGCGGTCCGGCGTAGAGAAACAAACGAACTCTCAACGAGTGAATTTCAACCCCCTGGCCCTGGCCCTGAAGATCTCTCTCAAAGTCCCGCATAGCCGAAAAGCGACGCGAGATGCAAGATCCATGCAAGGACGAACCCGCCCCTGGCCGCGCGCCGAGCTACCGATGGCACCGTTGAGTAAAGCTCAAGAAAAGCGCCGTTGGAAATAAAAAAGAATAACACTAACACCAACAGAAGCTCAACAACTTTGGCCTTTGATAGCCGCTTGGCCCCAGTTTCTCGGCACAACAAATGCCGCAGCGCTAGAACAGGTACGGTAGTATTACGGATACCTTACCCCGCCTGTTCTAACTTCTGTGTCCTCTTCGGTCGTTCCCCCAGCTCCCTTGTAAACCTGGGGTGTTAGCAATAGGCATTGTGACTCGTCTGGTCTCTATTTGGGAGTTCGAAGTGCATGCTCTGTTCTGACAACAAGTGAGCAGATAGCCAGTTACATTTTCAACGAATTCAACCAATTGCTCTCGGCTCTTTGTTCCTGGAGATCCTATTCCACATGGGAGCTTGAATCAGCTCCAAAAGGACCTCAATGGCACCCGTCGGCGCTCTGCTCTGGCGTTCGCTCAGGACATACCAAATCTATGGCGCCAACACCGATGTCGGCAAGACCGTCTTCGCCTCGGCCCTCTGCAACGCGGCCCGCAACTTTTGGCCACAGGACAAGACGGCTTTCTTGAAACCCGTTTCTACGGGTCCGGCCACCGAGGCCGACGATAGGTGTGCGTTGCTGCCAACTCCACTATCGATCGATACGATCTTTCTTCTCTCTTGCTCATGAGCTGATACAGGAGAAAACAGAAATGCGAACTCCTTCGGGTTCAATTCCGCTCTATGGTCTTACTAATTCCGCTTCTTCCTCCCCAGGCATATCTCAAGGTTTGCGCCCGGCATCGCGAAGAAGACGCTGTTTCAGTTTGAGATTCCAGCAAGTCCCCATCTGGCCGCTGCAGCGTCGGACCAGGTAAGCAGGCAATCTTCTCACTATTTGTCACCATACTAATTAACTCACTGGAAGTCGACTCCATCAGACAATGAAGTACTAAAAGGTATCTACAATTACTCATCCAGCCGAGCGGCCGATGGGCCGGGCTGGCTCTTCATCGAAACCGCCGGCGGTGTCCACTCTCCGGCTCCGTCCGGCACACCGCAGGCCGACCTCTACGCCCCGCTCCGAGCTCCGGTCATCTTCATCGGCGACGCCAAACTCGGTGGGATCTCTCAAACGATTTCGGCCTTTGAGTCTCTCAAGCTTCGCGGCTACGACGTCGAGAGTATTCTGCTCTTCCGAGATGGGTATTACCAGAACGACACCTACTTGCTCGACTACTTCCGTCGTGGACACGGCATCCCCGTCACCGCCGTAGACCAGCCGCCCGCTCGCGCGCAAGATGAGCAAGCGGACGCAGCAGCAATGTCTCATTATTACACCGAATTGTCGTCAAGCACAGCCATCAAGGATACCTTGGACCACTTACACGCTCGTCATCTCGCCCGCATCGCCCGTCTGGAAACCATGTCCCGTGACGCGCACGAGATTATCTGGTACCCCTTCACGCAGCACAAGGGCCTGACGCCCGACAAGATCACGGCAATTGACTCGGCCCACGGCGACAACTTCCAAACACTCGTCCCCCAGAGCCAACAACAACCCGGTGACCAAGCCCTCCTGCAGCCTTCCTTTGACGGGTCCTCGTCATGGTGGACGCAGGGTCTAGGCCACGCCAACCCAAAACTCACCCTCGCAGCCTCCTACGCCGCCGGCCGCTACGGCCACGTAATGTTCGCCTCCGCCGTTCACGAGCCCGCCTTGGCCCTAGCCCAAACGCTGCTTCAGGGCCTGCGAAACCCCCGCCTCTCGCGCGTCTTCTACTCGGACAACGGCAGCACGGGCATGGAAGTCGCTGTGAAGATGGGCCTGCGTGCCGCGCGCGTGCGCTACGGCTGGAAAGCCAACGACAAGCTCGAGATCCTGGGCCTCAGGGGCAGCTACCACGGCGACACCATGGGCGCGATGGACTCTACGGAGCCGTCCGTATTCAACGAGAAGGTGGAGTGGTATGACGGCAAGGGGTTCTGGTTCGAGTACCCTTCCGTCATGTGCAAGGACGGTAAGTGGCAGGTTCGGGTCCCGGGTGTCCTGCGGGAAGAGCTGGGTGCTGGGCAGGAGTTTGATAGCTTGTCTGCGGTGTTTGATGTCACTGGTAGGGAGAGTGCCGGACAGGCGCAAGTGTATGAGGAGTACATCATCAGCGTCCTGGGTCATCTCCGGGACCAGGGGCGCAAGTTCGGTGCTTTAGTTATGGAGCCTGTCATTCTTGGGGCGGGAGGCATGATTATGGCGTAAGTACAAGACAGCCCCAACTCCGTGTGAAGTTGGAGACGTTTTGGTAACTGATCTCCGAATGCAGCGATCCTTTATTCCAGAGCACTCTCGTCAAGGTCATCCGACAGCACCCCGAGCTCTTCGGAACGGCAACACAGTCTCCTTCAGCGTCGGACAACAACACTTGGACAGGCCTCCCGGTAGTCTTTGACGAAGTCTTCACAGGTCTCACCCGTCTAGGCCGCTTCTCTGCCGCGACATTCCTCGGCGTCGATCCAGACGTTGTCTGCAACGCGAAGCTGCTCACAGGCGGCCTGGTACCCCTCTGCACCACGTCAGCCTCCGACAGCATCTTCCGAGCCTTTGAGAGCGACGAGAAGAGCGACGCGCTGCTCCACGGCCACAGCTACACCGCACATGCGGTTGGATGTCAAGTTGCCCTCGAATCGTTGCGAGAGCTCCAGAGAATCGATCACGACGGGGAGTGGAACTGGGCCAAGACGAACGGTTGGGGGGCTTCAGCGACGGCAGACTCTGCGACTCACGTAGAATCTGGCAGCTCGGCTGGAGCATGGTCTGTCTGGTCGCAGTCTTTTGTTGACTGGGTATCGAAGCAGGCTGATCGGGTGGATGGCGTATGGGCCTTGGGATCTGTTCTTGCTATTCATTTGCAGGACAGTGAGGGAGCTGGATACTCGAGCAATGCCGCCGCGAACCTGCAAAGTGCTCTGCTTCAAGGGGGGCATGGTACTGAGGGCGGAAGATGGAACGTTCACAGCAGAGTTCTTGGAAATGTTCTCTACGTGATGACGAGCCAGACGACGAGGCAAGAAGATATCGAGAGATTGGAAATTTTGTTGCGGAGGTCCCTTGTATAGTAGCTTGAGCAAGTCCGTACATGTACAATCCACAATTTCCCCATATGGCATTTACACAGTTACACAGAGACCTCTTGCAATTTTCAATTCTCCTTACAGTTCAACCACAACTCACGTCTGGAGGCTACGTCAACTTGGCAGATTCTGCCACACCTCCTTCTGTTGCCTCCTTCGTGTTAATTTTGTTTGCCCCGCGCTGTTGCTTCATGGTTCTCCTTATCCTTCTACTTCTTGAACCGCGCATGAAGTACCTGACATGTAAATGTTGTCAGAGATGGCACTATCAACAAAAAGACTCCCCCTCGGATGGTACTCACGTGATACCACCGATGAATATCAGACCAACTGCTGCAGATCCAATGCCAACACCAACCCTCTGTCCGGTCGAAAGTTCTACTCCTATTAGTATGCGATGAAATCAGAGCACATGAGAGTGAACCCGGTGATACTTACCCCCTAGCATGTTGGCACTCCCGCTTTCACCGCTTGTTGGCGAGGGTATGCTTCCAACGCTTGAACTCGCGCTCTGCGATGTTGTAGGAGTAATGGAAGTATAGTTTCCATCCGGGGATATAGTGGCAGATAGCAGCGTGCTATTGACCAAAAGAGTAGCAGACGCCGTGGCACAAGTGAACGCAACCGCGCCATCGGCTATCCAGCTCATAGTTGCGCAGTAAGGTTCAGATCCATAACTTGAAAACAGTCAGCCTTCCATTCTTCCTTCTTCTTTCCCCCTCAGTTTTGATAGGCTCATATAATTACCAACGTACCAAGTGAGGATCGATGCTTCTGTCGCTAGAGTAGAAACATCCGTTGCCACTTCCTGGCAGCCAGTGCGAACCACGCAGTCCTGCTGGCCGCTACAGCAGCCGACGAAAGTTGTCAGACCCTCACTCGAATGAATACATGAGCTTCCATTTGGGCACGTGAGTGGCCCATCTAGTTTTCAATTCATTTAGTACTTGATTCATTGCCATTGGCAGAAGGGGGTAGACCCATTGGCATTGGTATTGGGCTTACCATCAACATATCCGCATGTTTCTGCTATCGTTGCCCGTCGCTGAACATTTTCGGTCGGGGCTTGCAAGACTGGACTCGTCGTTGCGGGAACTCTGGCGACAACATCGTGAGCAGATGTGCTCGAAGGCGTTGTACAGCCTGCTGAAACTACATAGAAGCTGAGCTGTGCCACTCTGGCGATGAAGTTGGTTGAATCACGCATCCTATTAATTGCAGCAACTCTGTGGTTGTCACGGAAAAAAGGAGAACTTCTGTAATAGCAACACATGAAAGTGTGTCTTTGGGTCGCAGTATTGTATAAACAGTTCGGAAAGAGTGTCGCAGCATCATTATCCCCAAAACCATGCTTGTGACCCTGCAACTAATCAATAGACCCAACAGCAGATTCCGACGTGAGCCAATCAGGCATGATCGTGGCTCCAATAGTCATACCAGATCTAGATAACGTTGCTTATGTCTGACGGCAATTAGTGAGATATCTGCGTTCATTGGTTGCCTGGTGCGGCTGAGTACACTGAAGCAAATACTCAGGGTTGGCAGATACGCAGCCTGATTTTGTGAGATATCCTGGAGAGGCGAGTTGGCTTCCTTAACCGTCAAAGCTCCATCTGAATCCTCGTCTCCGCACGTGAGAAAGTCTTCAATTCCGTATATATGTCATCGATCGGTTCCGTGTTGGAGCCCGGGAACCTTCCAATTGCAAATGGCCAACAACTCGAGCCCTGACTGCGCCGATCTCGATTCTTTCCGAGCCTTTGACGAGTATGTGGACAAACTTAGAAGCGAGACTTCATTGAACGAGGATTCCCTGGAGAAGTGCCGGAATCAAATATGCCATGCTCTCTGGGGTGAAAGCAACCCAAACATTTCAGGCATCGGCGTAAGTTAACCTTATCCGAATGACTTATTGGGAGTATGAGATTGTCTGATTATTCACAGATATTTATTGGTTACACGATTGAGATTGCTTTAGGCTTCCTCTTGGCCGTTCTTTTCCTCAGCATCAGCCGATATCAAGGGCAAAACCAGAAGCTCTTCCAGACAACAGTCAAAGCTGGTCTCGAGGCATTCTCTGATTTTGCAATCTACTTTTCTATCTCGGTGGCAATAGCCGTACTCGTTATGCTATATAAGAATGACTACGGTATCTCAACGGAAGGTTTCGATGCCAACGAAGCACACATGGGCTTGGCGTTATCAGTGACTTGCGTCTTGCCCTTATTTTACCCGGTCGGACTTTTGAGCACCAAGTCGTTGCAAAGGTCGGCCAAAAGACCAACCATATCGAATGGAGAACCACATGAGAAAGACGAAAAGGAGAATCTTCGTTTACTACTTTTTTGCCTGTTGGCAGTCCTCATTTTCTATCCATTTGTGTCAAAGTGCATCCACACCTGGAAACCTTCCCAGATCGGCGCTGGCAAAGGTTCAGAAGGCCGTACGCTGATCACGAGAGAAGAGTGGAATCGTATCGAGAATATGTGCTTTGGTTCCACCTCTTTCTTCACAGATACGGAGCAAGTTATACTGGCAGTCTTTGAATTTCTGGCCTCGATTTCGATCTTCATGTTTGCGATTTGGCGAGTAAGTGGTGCCGTCGTCCGCAAGATGGAAGAAGATGACGTCGCTGTGGGCAACCGACGCCAAAAGACTGCTAATTTGAAGAAGATGCGAGAGCTTATTCAGAAGGCCTGGGAGCAGCGTGCAATTGTGCAGGTATCCTTGCTTCTGATGCCAGTCGTACTAGCTGGCCCGCTCCTGTGGAGCGTCTTTCGCCTACGAACGATACAAGCAGCCATCGCAGAAAGACTAGAGAGCACGTATTCAGAGAACGACTGGGGCTTTGGACAGATAATCGGAATCATCATATTCGTACCAATATTCACTGAAATGGCTTTTGCTAGTTGGAGATCACGATCCTCATCGCAGCCTGCCGTGGGCGAGTCAGAGGCTCCACGACTGATTTAATTCAACCGGTCGTTGCTAGCTAAGATAGTTGAATATGAACAAAGATTCGGGAACAGTGTGGTGCTACGAAGGGTGAAATGCTTTGGATTGGCTTGGTAAGTAAGACTACTCATCCGCCGAATAACCCCAGACAAATATCAGATAACTCCACGGAGCCGTCGACAGTTGTGACATGAAAGAGGTCTTACCTGACGGCCCACCTCAATAGCTCCCCACTGACACCCTTTACTTACATTCGCAAGGATTCGGGCGTCTTTTGCGGTATCCAAGGTCATTGTTGAACTTCACATGCACCTCTGATCTGAGAAATTTGCATGTGTGTTGCTGGCTGCCGATGATCCGATCGCTTGGTTGTGGGCCAAGTTCCGTACGAGTTTTCTCAGTACACTCGAGGCACCTTGAAACTACAGAAATGCTACTTGCGGCGTGGAAGGCATGGTCTCTTGTTCTGAGGAGTGATTATGACAGCGTGAGCAGTCGAAGTTAGCTACCTTGCTTGCTTGAGGCACAGTTTGATATGACAGTCTTCTGTATCGATGGCTTGAGAACTGCCTGAACAGCATGGCAAGATCTTTTGTGGATATGTGGGCACGTATGCGTCGTGGCAAAGCTCATCAACAGAGCAAATCCTTCATCGATACATCCGTCGTGGGATGTAGGCGGTTTTTCGAAAGAGAGGGATCTTCGCATGGGTCCTTGCCAGGGGTCTCTGCTGTTCTAATGCATCGAACGCATATAGAAAAGTCTAGATGAAGCCACCAACCGGGCCTTTCCTAGGGAGTTAGTTCAGCAAACCAAGGACGGAGGGACCAGAGCGCGACAGGCGACGAGGACCTTTTATGCGGCCGTCCATTTTAAGGTGCTGTTTCACCCGGAGTTAGTGATGGGTCTTGGTTGCAATTCCCGGGTGAGTGACTATGAGTGGTCGCCCTATGCGAGAACGAGGGTGGAGTTAAGCCTAGAGGTGCAGTTGATGACAGACAGCACGGGAGAGAAGAGGAAGACGTAAAACGATGAGATGGGATGAGTGTAGTGTATGGCTAGGTTAGCTATGTGAAGTTATGGATGGTTCAAGTTTCTTCCCGGCCGAGAGGTGCGCCCGAGTCTCATGAGTCTTACGAGTCTCTCTTCAGTAGATTCGAAAGATACTATTCACAAAGTTAAATAAGCCGAGGCGGCATGGGATAAGTGCGATATCCCCGTGTTGCATGCTGAAGGAATTGAAGGATTCTCGGCGCTATGAAGTGAATATGCCGACGTCCAGTTCGTGTCCGTGTGTCTCTTGAACAGTGATCAGCGTAGCAGAGCACCATGTTAGTGCTACCTTATTTGATGTAGTGCGTACGTAGTAAGGGTCTTTTGCCAAGTTCAGACTAGAAGGCCGAATTGGAAGCTTCTGTCGAAGAGATTTGCGGGGGTTTAGAAATCCTTCGCCCAACTTGTGTGGGTGTGTGACAGTGAAAGTAAAAGTGAGAAAGAGAAGGAGAAGTGAAAGTCACAGTGAAAAGTGAGTTTGTGCGAGTGACAATGTGAGGTCATGGGCTGCTGACGTATGCGCCACTCCAAGCCAAGCTCCCCCCGGCCCCAACTCTGATGATCCTCTTCATCCTCACACTGACACAACCACAAATCACCACAACTTTGAACCAGTAAAGATGGAGAAAAATTAGTGCAGCGGCCCCAGGTAAAAGGGAGGAGATCTGCAATCTAATCTGTCCCGTGCGCCGCCAAATGCCGACCGCTTCCCGCTCGCCCTGCCGCCGCGCCTCAAATGTTCCGTTCCAGTGCGACCCTCTGCTCTTTTCAAGCTTTGCTCAGTCATACTCGCAGGAGATCACTGATCCTGGTCGGGCCAGCCGTCTTTCCGTCCCCCCTTGTTTTGCAGATTGCAGACTGCAGGCTGCGGCGCCACTCTCCTTCAGATTCGAACAAGTTGTGGAGATGCCTAGGCAAAGAAGCAGAGCCAGTAGAAGAAGCAGAGCCAGTAGAAGCTTCAGTAACTCGAGAGATACGAAGAGATCGGGCCCTGATTCGGCTACGGATACAACTCACAGCCATTGGATCGAGTTCCCACATTCATACTTCACACATCAATGTCTCTCCGAGCCCTCCGAAGGAGAAAAGCGGATATCACGGCCCGTCTTAGCATCAAAGCTTGACTTCGATCCACCCCACACACGCGTACGGTAGCGTCTGCAACGTTGAGGCACTCTTGCAGACGCAGTCCTGTTACTGTGAGGCATATCTAGGTTGCCAGGGGGGATGCCAAACTGAGACCAGCCAGAGAGACCCAATGTTCGCCGGTTTGCTGCCCAGTTCGTCAACGGCGAGCCCGCGCCTATCAGAATGAAGTCAGTCAAGAGACCTACCTGCTCTTTTGATCTCTCTCTCTCTCTCTACGTACCTCACTGTACTCTCATACGGAGGACCCAGCAGTGTGAAGCAAGGAGGACCCATTAAACAGGTCTTCAACATGCCGTGAATGCCACCCGAAGTGCGGTTTCGCAGTCGCAAACTGCAGTTCGGACTCGAGGGAGAATGTCCATGGTCCATGGTCCATGGATGAAGCACAGAAGATCCACCACCCCCGTTCGCCCCCCTCTATGCCCCTTTTGACGGCCGAATTCCGTCCTCAACTCCTCCGTCCGCTTCGCCCCACACTGCCCGTACGAGCTCCACTACAAACCGGAACTTGTTTCTAGCAGTTTGCGTGGAAAGACAAGCACACAAGGTGGGCAAAGACCGCTCACACCGGTGACACCTTACACTAGCTCGCGGCTCGCCCCTAGAGGACGACCGATCTTCCTACGTTAGAGACCCGGCTTAGTTCAGCACTGGGCAACAAACGAACTCGAAACAAGCCTTTTCTTCCCTCCTCCTACTCCAGCGTTACTCCACTCGCGGCGCCGGTACACCTTTGAGCGCCGACCGGCCGATAACGGTCCCGGGCCTTGTTGCAGCACGGTGGAACTGCTGCCATGTGGACATGACGTCTTCATCTCAACTCCTTTCGCCGAGCTATGTCCTTAATCGCTGGATAGGTGTGCGGACTTGAGCATCATGGGAAAATGCCGCCGCATAGCTGAGGGGCTAGAACTATGCTGGACCCAAAACTATGTTTTGCTACCTTCGCCCAGAAGAGGAGAGCGCAGAGCTTTCTTTCTTCTGTGTATATAAACACTCTGGCTTGGCCCCGTGAACTTTGGCATCGAGACCACACAATCACACATATCTCACTCTCACAACGTCTTTTGACTACCATCCACAACTGCAACACATTTCAGCTTATACCATTTGATACTTTCAACATTCGAAACACCACAATACGATACCAATCTAGTACCTCACTTTTGATAAATCGGCATTACACTACTTCAGCATGGCACAGCCCCAGTACGGAAAGCGCTTGATTCCCCAGGTCCTCGACGAGGTCGCAGAGTCAGAACCCAGCAGAGAGTTCATCTCCGTCCCCCGCTCCTCCAACCCCCAAGATGGCTGGAAGCCCATCTCTTACAAGCAGATCGCCAACGCCGTGAACCGGATAGCCCAGAGAATCATCGACAAGCGCGGCAAGCCCGAGCCCGGAAGCTTCCCAACCCTCACCTACATCGGCCCCAACGATGCCCGCTATATGATTATCATGATCGCCTGTATCAAGGCCGGATACAAGGCTCTCCTCATCTCCCCGAGAAACTCCTTTGAAGGCCAGATGAACCTCTTTGAGAAGACGGACTGCCACATCATCTGCTTCGACTCGTCCTTCAAGGATGTAATTCAACCCCTGCTGGAAGAGCGCCCCATGGACGCCATCATGGTCAGCTCGGCAGATGCATGGCTGTCGGACGACGAAGTGCCTCATTTCCCCTACACAAAGACTTACGAAGAGGCACAAAATGATCCTGTCGTCGTCCTGCACACGAGCGGCAGCACGGGTCTGCCAAAGCCCATCGTCGCTCGTGTTGGCATGATGGCCGTCGCCGATGCCTTCCACAACGTCCCTGACTTCATGGGCTCCGAGAACTGCGTAAAATCCATCATGCATGGCACTCGCCTCTTCCTGCCGATGCCCCTCTTCCACGCCGCCGGCTGCTACATGTCGACCTTCGCCACGATCTACTGGGGACGGCCCGTCGCGCTGGGCTTCACGGATCGGCCCTTGACGCCGCAAACTGTCATCGACGCCGCGCAGTACGCCAAGATCGACAACGTGATCCTGCCTCCCGCCATTCTCGAAGAGATGAGCCACATGCCCGAGGGCATCGCGGCGCTCCAAAAGTTCAAGCGCGTCAACTTTGGCGGTGGCAACCTCGCCCGCGGCGCTGGCGACAAGCTCGTCAAGGAGGGCGTTCCCGTGTCGAGCGTCATCGCCTTCACCGAGGCCGCGCCCCTGCCGTACTACTTCCAGAAGAACCTCGAGCTGTGGCAGTGGTTCATCGTCGACTCGGACAGGCTCGGCGTCGACTGGCGCCAGGCCAGCGGTGAGGACGAAGATATCTACGAGCAGGTCATTGTTCGCAAGGACAAAGCGGACCCCCTCCAGGGCATCTTCTACACCTTCCCCGACGTTAACGAGTACAACACAAAGGATCTGTACCGCAAGCACCCGACCCTACCCAACCATTGGATGTACTACGGCCGCTCCGACAACATCATTGTCTTCTCCAACGGCGAGAAGCTCAACCCCGTCACCATTGAGGAGATCGTCACTGGTCACGCGAGAGTCAAGGGCGCCGTCGTCGCCGGCGCCATGCGCTTCCAGCCCTTCCTCATCCTCGAACCCACCGAACCCTTGACTTCCGAGGATGACATCCAGCAGTTCATCGACGACGTCTGGCCCCTGGTCGTCAAGGCGAACAAGGAGACCGTTGCTCACGGCCAGATCGGTCGCGCCTTCATCGGCGTCACCAACCCCGAGAAGCCCTTCCCCCGCGCCGGCAAGGGCACCATCCAGCGACCCATGGCCCTGAAGCTCTACAAGGACGAGCTCGACGAGTGGTACAACAAGGCCGAGGACGGCGCCGACTCCCTCTCTGTCAACATTGACGTCTCCTCCCAGCAAGGCATGATTGACTCTATTGAGAAGCTTTTCCAGCAGACCCTCGGTAGCCGCGCTCTTTCCGCCGACTCGGACTTCTTCAGTGCCGGCATCGACTCTATGCAGGTCATCAACGCATCCCGCCTCCTCCGCAAGGGCCTCGAGGCCGCCGGCGCAAATATTACCGCTGACGCCATCGCCACCCGAGTCATCTACGCCCATCCCACCCCGCGCCAGCTGGCCGCCTACCTCATGGACCGCGTCAGCAAGAACACCTCTGCAGACAGCAATGGCGACGGCGAAAACCACGACATCCACGCCATGGAGGCCCAGCTGCAAAAGTACACCCGCGACCTTCCCAAGAGCACTGGCACCAAGCCCGCGCCCAACGACAAGGGCCAGACCGTCCTCGTCACCGGCACCACCGGCGCCCTGGGCTCCTACCTCCTCGACTTCATGGAACACAACCCGGCCGTGTCAAAGGTTGTCTGCCTCAACCGCAGCGAAGATAGCGGCAAGCGCCAGGTCAAGATGTCCGCCGAGCGCGGCCTCGCCACCACCTGGAAAAAGGCAGAATTCCTCTGCGTTGACATGTCCAAGAGCAACCTCAGCCTCGAGCCGGAGGTTTACGACCGTCTCCTGAAGGAGGCAGACCGCATCATCCACAACGCCTGGCCCGTCAACTTCAACATCTCGGTCGAGACCTTTGAGCCGCATATTCGTGGCGTTCGCCACTGGGTCGACTTCTCCCTCCGCGCCGCCAAGAACGTGCCCGTCGTCTTCGTGAGCTCCATCGGCACCGTCGACACCTGGCAGGGCCCCGGCCCTGTCCCGGAGAAGAGGTTGATGGACCTGTCTCTGCCGAGCACGGGTTACGGCCGCTCCAAGATGGTCAGCTCCCTCATCCTCGACGAGGCGACGCAGGTCTCAGGCGTTCCGACCGCTGTCGTCCGTGTTGGACAGGTCGCGGGCCCGCAGTCTAAGGACGGTGTATGGAACCGCCAGGAGTGGCTTCCCACCATCATCGCCAGCTCCAAGTACCTCGGTGCACTGCCGCGTGATCTCGGCGCCATGGCGACGGTCAACTGGACACCCATCGAAGGTATTGCGAAACTCATCCTCGAGGTGTCTGGCATTGCCGCCCCCGTGCCGTTAGAGAATATCAACGGCTACTTCCACGGCGTGAACCCGCGGACCGTACCCTGGGAGAACCTGGCCGAGGCCGTGAGGGATTTCTACGGCGATGGTGTCATCAAGAAGCTGGTTTCCTTCAAGGAGTGGGTTGAGCTGTTGGAGAACAGTACGGCGACCACGGATGATGTCGACAAGAACCCTGGTATCAAGCTGCTCGACTTCTACCAGGGTTTGGCTATGGGTGAGGGACAGGGTGTCGAATTCTCTATGGAGCGCACGACAAAGAGCAGCAAGACGATGAAGGAGATGCAGGCTGTGACGCCTGAGTTGATGCAAAACTGGTGCAGGCAGTGGGCGTTCTAAAGACTGACAACACTTTTTGGGGGGAATTTGGGAAAGCATAGACTACTACTACCTTAATGCTGTATATAGAATGAGATATGACAATTGATTCAAAGTATCTGACAAGCTTCGCTTTCTTCCGATGTCATCTCCTGGCATAGTGAGACGCCCAATAGTTCGGCAGAGTCCATTCGCCCTCGCTCGCTGTCTCGTCAACTAGGGACGAGCTTGGCAGCGGTCCCCTTGGTGGCGTAGCTATGTTCAACTGATCCCGTTGCGAGTGCGCGTCAAAGAACAAACAGCCTCCTGTAACAGCCCATCCACTGTGTTCAGGTATCAAAGAACGAACAACGGCTTTTTTCTCCGAAATTCCGATGCAAATCTGTACTATATAAACATGGTAAATGGAAATCTTGTAGTCTTGGACGACGGTTCCATTACCACTGCGCAAGAATTCGTCTTCAATCGTCCTCACTCTTGTAGAACATACCTTACATCTCAATTTCAAGCAACCCGGGTGTCACCAGAGAAATGAGTCAACAGAATCATGACGGACCCGAGGACAAGACTCCTGCGCCATCTAACAATAAGGAGAAAAAAGGAGAGGAAGAGAGAAAAGAAAAGGAATGCGAAAACCCGTACCATTGCTGGGAGGCTCATCACTGGACCGGGCACTGGGTTGGCGAGAACTGGGTACCCCCTATTCATGCTGAGCCCTGACGCATAGGGCCAATTTTGACCCCAGGGCCTATCGGAATAAGCCCCAGCGGTCACATAGTAAATTGCGGGATGCAACACAGTTGCCCCAATAAGAATCACCCTCGAGACTTAGACCCGCGCTATAAGAACAGACAGCCAAGGCCAGAGTTTCAATACAATTCAGGCGGGGATGCGTCGAGACTCCTGGGATTGAAAGCAATCGAAAGAGAGCTTGGAGCCGATGCCCTAAATTCGACAAGTGACAAGCTCATGAAAGATGAGCCGGAAGATCGTACAAATGGCCGGGGCTCGGGGCCTTCTCAGAGTTCTGGATAGAGTCGCGAGGCTCCTCGAAGTAGATCAACAACAACTCAAATGGGCTTTTCATTGAGAACGAAACAGCAACAAGGCACTGCAATATTGGAGTTGGTGATGGAATGACGATGGTAGCTAGACTCCTAGTCCTTACCGAGAATTGCATATCAGCCAAAGGCCCTATAAGCTACGCGTCAGTCTGGCCCAAATTTTTTATGCTATAAGTGAGAGAGTGAAGAGTCAAAGGCCGCGACAATGAGCAGACACTCACAGTATTCTACTGAGGTATATTTCAAGTGTAAACACCGGTCACATTCCGTATCTATCAACGAAGCTGGAAGTCTATGGCGGGTCTGAAGACTGAGGAGAAATACGTTGCTCTGTTATCCATTCAAGAACTCGGTCAAACCCAGCACCTTATTCTGTAAGTCTCACAGCAATATTCATGCAGGACAGATGTAACTTACAGGACCCAACGTCAAATACGCTAGTCTTTTGGGGTTGTAAGGCATTGGGCGGTTTGGCAAGTCGGTTTGCTCTTTCGTCCTCTTGACGCTGTCCATGCGTCAAAGAACAAACAGCTATCTTTCCCACTCTCATCACTATGTTCAACATCAAAGAACGGACAGAAGCTTTGATCTACGGAATAGACTCACATAGACATGAAATTGATGGATAAATATGTCTTGGTTGCCTAGCAGCATACTTACATGTGGAAAGCCTTTTCCAAACACTGCGCAAAAGTCGTTGTCAATTCGAGCACCTTCAAAAAAAGTCATCTCAATCTCGGCCGCCAAAAGTATTATAAAATGGGGCAATGCTTTTCCAGCGAAACCAACGGCAATACCACACCCGGTCAACAAAATTGCAGTCATCGTTCACGCAGCGAGAGAACGAATTCCATGAAAGGAGTTGCTTGGCTGAACCATGACCCCTACAACAGGGGGAAAATATCGGTTAAAGATGATACAGACAGGTGGGTGGGTCGAACCGGGACATTGGAACCACGAAACATACAACAAACACGCGGTAGGGTGATGAAAAAGCCTGTTGCCTGAGACCATCTCGATGTTTACAATAGAGCATCCCCGGATTGCATCGATGACGAGTCATCCGAGTCCCTCGCTGACCAAACCCGAATCGAGACATCCAAAAGTTCGGGCAATGTTGTGGATGCTGCCATGTGGCTTGTAGATCGAGGCGTTAGGTTCATGTTGTTGGATGGGCTCTGAGGCAGTATAGTTTGAGTCAGTCATTTGAGTTGTGGTTGGATTCCGGCAAGCTTCCCTCAATAGTAAAAGTTCTAATTACAACTCAAGTCCATCAGCAAGTGCCACGGCCAGGACAGCAAGATGACGGACGAGATAAACCGATACAAGCTCACGATGTGAGATTACGCATCGTTTGTATCACACATTTAGGGAAGTGATCTCAAACCGGCACCTGGGGCGTTCTAACAGATACTAAAAATGGTTTCAAGTTCCTGAAAGTCTACGTTCGTCCCGCCCTCTGCTGCTGTGTCAAAGGCCAATAGCCAGGCTTGGGATGTTTGCTATCTCGCGCCCCTAACGCTGTTCAGACGTCAAAGACGAACAGCTGCCTGTCGCACCCTCAACTATGTTCAAATATCAAAGAATGAACAGCTGCTTCTATTTCTGAGTCATCAATACTGATCCATTTGATCTAAGTACATATAAACCCCAAATCAAAGGCGTGTTGGTTACACAGCATAGATATTCATGAAGTTTCAATAAACACTGCGTTGAAAGAATTATCGCCAATCGCCGGCGCCATTGAAAAAAACAACAACGAGTACACCGGCTCAAGCAACTCGAAACCGATCGAAAAATGAGTCAATGCAAAAACGGCCAAATCCCCAGCCATGAGCAAGGCAGTTGCGATCCATACCGTGATGAGAGACAGGCCCATTCGACTGAAGAAGATCCCGCTCTTCGCGGAATGGTGCGCGTCCCCCCACTCAGTCAGGTCGGACTAAATACACCGGCGATAAAGTGCGCAGTCTGCGAAGAAGAGCGCGAGTGGACGCATGCGAGAAATCTCAAATGCTTAAAATGTCTCCGTGACCAGCGATTGGAAGGAGTAGACGAGCTGCAAATGGAAGATAAGAAGAGGAAGAACCTCGAGATGTCGGCACCATACACGACCTCCGACGAGAAACCGGGGGAACACTAGAGAGTCCCTGAGGGCTAGGAATCGACGGAAGAAGACATGGAGGTTTTTGGCATCTCCTATCCCCGACTTCGGGATGGTACGAAAGACTACACCTGAAGGTTGCGCAAAGGACTGCGAGCCGCAACCCTCTCAGATTCCGAGTTAGGTCGCTACATCGCCCATGGTGCATTAAGAAGTCGCCTAAGCTTTTCAGCGAGGATACAACAATAATGGTACATTGAGAATTTTGGGAGACATGAGGCAGGGCGTCGTCGGGCTTAGTCGTCTGGGATGGGTTGTGAGGGAACATCATAACAGTCGATCATTTGTACCTTCTGTAAACCTGTAGCATCTACTAGAGTTACGAAGTACAACCAGTTTATAAGCGATTGATACGCAGTGGAAATTGTGTTCGTTTATGTGTTGCCTTGACTATGAGATCCCCTGCTTATCCACAATAGCATCGCCCAAGTGTGTTCCCTGAGCATACGAGTTAGGAGCAGCCGCATCGAGTGTCTCATGTCCGAATGGAGTCCAAGTACGTATTAGTAGGCAAGATACTTCCTATGTCACCCGCCAGTGTCTATGATGTCTTACGCGCTCTACGTGGGGAGATTTACGGAGTCTACCCAAACACAGCACCGCCACCGGCACTCTGTCTCCGCGATCAAGACGAGCGAATCATGTGGCAGAGATAGAGCCTTTCGACTCGGCGAAGATTGTTAAAGTCAGCGACACATTTGCTAGGTAGGTAGTCTAATGTATTGAGGTGTTGCTGATCCTTGTCAGCCGTATCGTGCGCCTGGCATTCCTGGCATCCAGACCATAGCGAGCGGCGCATGGTCATGGAGGAATAAGTTAGGGTGGCAATGTGGTGTTCGTCGCTCCCATTTCTACAAGTAAACCTAGATATACCTGAATTACTGCACACATTTTCTACCTCTCTATCTCAGGGCTCCCTCGTCTACTGAGCCCCTGTTTGCTCAAGCTCAGATAGCCATCATCATCATCGACCTCACTCAATCAGTCATGTATCAAGAAATCCTCATCTCTTAAAGTACAAACTCTTTCCTCCCCGAGGGAGAAGAACCAACCTTTTGGTGTCTCCTACTCAAACCCCGCTCCGTCATAATGCTCATGAAGGGTATCTCCAAAAGTCTCCCCGTTGAAAAAAAAAGATGCCTCCGCATGATACTTCAAAACGCCGGAGCCCCCTCTCTCTCTCTCGCCGTGAAACCCAAGAGAAAAGGATAGAGAGCCTAGTAGCTCTTTTCCGAACACCTCATAATTTCAATAACGAAATGCCCTTTGTCCCTTTCATGAAGCCGGTAATGTGAAGAAGAAGAAGAAGAAGAAGAAGATAATGCGCCCCCGAAGTCCATGGTAATACGCAGCCCTTTTGTTGTGGCCTAACAGCCTTGGGTGTGCTCCGTCCGTTCCGTCGTCTAAATAGCAAGTTGCGAAGCCCTTGCTGGGCTGAAGGTCCTGTCGTCTGTTGTCTGTTTTTCTGTTGTCGGTCATAACAAAGCATCAAGTCGTGATACGCCCCTCCTCTTTTCTCCTCCCCCCACCCCCTGGTCACCCGCTCATGTCGTGTATGTTGTGTGAGCAAGCGTCGTTTTTAGATAGAGGTACAATGGAGATTTTCTCCACAAGCCGGTGAAACGAAATCCCACCTCAACGCCATAGGAAATCTGACGGCTTCACCGGCCTCCCTGTAGCATGCGAAATGATCCTCACATTCTCGCACGCGTCCTCAAAGTCGTCGTCCATGTTGTACTCGCGATAATACCACCCGCCCGTCCGCGGATCCCAGAAGTCCCGCCGGTGCAGCTCGGGCGTGTGAAGACCTAGATACGACATCCACTGCGTGTGCTCGCGGAGAATGGCCGGGCTGCTGACGTCCTCCGGGCCGAGGACGGTGTTGATGGGTTGGGAGATGGACTTTTGCCCGCGGGCGTCCCGGTCGTTGAACATGAGCATCAGGCGAGAGGCGATTTCCTTGTCGATTGCGCTGAGGGGTTGGCCGTGCTCGATGCGGCCTGCTAGGGATATTAGGTAGGATTTGTGTCCGTTCTTTCTTGGAGAATGGAGATGGGCCTGATATAAAGTTAGATCATTCCCCGGGCACAAAGATGCCACATTAGTGAGCGTCATTCGCTGTCCTCATACCTTCATCTCTCGCCGGGTGTCCGTGAGGAACGGGCAGTTGTCCATGATGCACCGGTAAATCTCCTTGAGATAGCCCGGCTCGGCCACCGGTGGCGGGCAACAGTGGGTCGTCGGTTGCGAGTCCGGCAAGAAAGACACCGGCCGGCACTTTTGACAAAGGCCCCGGACGCACGGCTCGTTTCCGGGTCCTTCATGATCGAGGTAGTAGTGTAACTGGGGGTCCCCGGTACTGTCAACTCATAAAGTTCACCTTAAAAGACGGCTTTGTCTTAATCCCAAACCGGCGCGTCAAAAGAACGTACCTCTGAGCATCCCGGCCGAGAGAATCCGGGGTCCCTCCGGGCATCTGCCGGATTTGGCTACGCGTTCTTGTAAGCCTGTGCTGGTCTCTCACACATGGAACATCATTTCCATGAAATAGAAATGCGTGTGGCGGGCAACGTACTATCCTCAGTTCAATCCGGTCCTTTTGACTGACATCTCCCCGAATCACTTTGGCGGGCAGAGGCATGGCGTTCCATCGCAGGCAACACATGGAGCACACATACTTCCTCGGCCACCCAAAGTTACCCTGCGCGTCCGCCACGGCCTCCGATTCCTGAGACCGCCACCCAATGCCGTTGCCGTACTCATGGCGGCTGCGCGAGAGGCCGTAGTAGTCGATGCTCCATCCAGTCTGGATCTGGTCTCCGTTGGCCACGGATCGCGATCCGTCCACCTCTGTCGGGAGAGAAAACTCCTGCGGCGCCGGACGGCCGACGGCGTTGCCGAGGTAGAATCCTGTGTCACCGTCTACTCGGACTAGAACGTGACGCGGCTGTGAGGGCTCGGCGGCGGATAGGTCGAATGGGTTAATGATCCCAGCAGCCGGAGCCGGAGCAGGTTGCTGTTGAGCTGCCGGGGCGGGATACGTGCCGCCGTTGGCACCGCCTTGGCTGCTGTGAATATCCCCGCCGCCGTTGTTGCCACCGGGGCCGGCGCTTGCTGCACCTCCTCGCGTGATGGCCGCAGAGACCGGACCACCAGTGGCATCCGGTGGTTTACCAAAGCGGGGAGGTCCAGTGCCTTGGCGGCTGCCACTGCCATTGCCGCCGCTGCCCCCGCCGTTGCTGTTGTGCGATGGTATCAAGGAAGGTGCAACTCCAGGCGGCTCTCGTTCCTGTGGCTGGGCCTGAACGACAGCCGGACGTGTTGGTTGCCATTGTTGGCTATACATGAGAGACCCATGATGTGGCGAGGGAAACGGATGGAAATCACCTCCCCCAAGAGAATTCTGATGCCCGACGAATCGATTGGAGACTGTCAGGCTCATGTTACGCGGGGGGGAAGATGTTGTGCTCCTGGAGGGTGCTTGAAGTAAAAGGGCGGCAGAGCCGGGGACGAAAAAGACTCCAAATTGTCTGGTCTGGTCTGGTCTGGTTGTGCTTCGTTTCCTGGGTCCTGGTTCCTGGGTTGCGGTTTCCTGTTATCCTGGGGCGTTTACGTATCTGACAGCTTGCTCTTCTCACGGGATCTTCAGCTGTAAAAGTGATTTGATTGATGCTGCTGATGCTGGCCTGCTGCTTGCCCACGGGTAACTGCAGATGGAAAAGGGAACACAAAGTACGGAGAGAGGCGAAGAGAAGGGACGGGCGGAAGCGAGTCGGGTCATGTACGATGGAGCGGAGAGATAGATCTCAGACAAACAGCGCGTGCTGGGAGTGGATGGAAGTTGTGTACAGAGTTGTACAAAGAGTTGAGCGGAAGTGAATGTAGTGAAGAAAGGACGGGAGATGTAGGAGGAGATCCTGACTGAATGACACCCCCCCTGCGCTCACGATATTCTGGTTGACTGGCTGGACGACTTCCCACGCTGGGCTGGGCTAGGCATCGGGGGATCGGGGGAATCCCTCAAGGGCCAAGGTACCATCCAATGAATCCAATCGCAATTCCCCAGTACCACCAGTACCAGTCCACGGTCACTCAGCGGTTTTTTTCTCGCTGGTTGCTCACCTGAATCAAAAAGAAAAAGAAGGGCAAGGCGAGAAACTACCCCCCAGGGTGGCTGGCCCTAGTCTCAGAGTATCGCGAGAAGGAAAAAGCAATGCGCGTTACGGACGGATACCTAGTGTACGCAGTACCTACACACTCTGTCTCTCAGAGTCTCTGTGGCCCCCATCACCCTTTCAGTAAGTATATCTTTTTCTCTCTGCCTTGTCGTCGTTCGCTCAACGCGTGCTTTGCCGGCCCTGTCGCTACCCAGGCACACGCACACACGCACACACGCACACACGCACTATACTGCGTACGTCTGCGCCTTGCAACGTGACTGGTGAACCTGGGGCGGGTTCCAGCGGACGGAAGATGCCCAATTTCTGCAGACAGACGCGTAGGCGTAGCGGATGTGCAGGAGAGCCAGACCCGGGTACGGGTACGTATCCGTACGTACGACACAATGATAGCGTGCAGTACATAATCTTGGGAGAACTGCCAAACTGGAGCCCAAAGAGTCCAGAGTGGCCGGGGTCAGGGAGAAGGGCCAGGGGATCAAAGGCAAGGATTGAGTGAACAGCCAGGGGTTGGGAAGGGAAGGGGGGTGATCCGGGAGAGGAGAGGGGGGGGGGGGGAGCAGCAGCGGGCGGTTGGGCCAGGGCCGAGATCGATTCGATATGAGTGAACCTTCTTTTGCAGTGCTATCTCATTCTCCAGAGTTGTGTCCGTACGGATACCCAAAGGATAAGATCCGAGGCTGGACTGCTATGTCATAGTACAGAAGACACATTACTATGTATAGGCATAGGTAGGGCTCGCTCTCGGCACGGGAAAGCAGGACAGGATGCTGCCGGGTTGCGTTGTGATAGGTATGCTGCAGGTCATCAAACATCATCAGACGAGGCGGAAAGGGCCTGGGCCAACACGATCGCCACCTACATATCAAGGCGCAACCTCGTGGCTGCTCCCAGGTTGGGTTCCATGCTTCCCTCAAGAGAGACACCATCGCGGTACGATACGTCTGCTGCCTTGCACCTGGATGAGCATGGAGACATCCCCGACACCCCTGCTTGCGCGCGTGTATGTCGTGGGTGTCATGCCGCTGCCACAATCTGCATCTGCAGTGTGCGCTGATATGCTGCGCGCGTTGCGTGCTGCTGCGGCTTGGCTTTTTTGTCCAGACTCCGCTCCGATGTGCTGTCAATGTCATAATAATCGTCACTCTTACAGGCGCAGACACACACGCAAAGTACTTGTGTACCCGTACCCAAAGTAGTTGCATACCTACTCAAGTAGGTATCTGTATCTGCAGTTGAGAACACGAAGAAACGCCTGCCCCGGTACGGACGTATGCAGAAGGAAAAAGACAGATGAGTTGCAGATTCTTCTGAGACTCATGTCTCGTTCAGCATGACCAGCAGCATCTCAGCAAGCCCCCCCCCCCCCTGCCTCATGTTGGGATTGGTTCGGCACGAGGAGACCCCTCTTTCCCAGGGATTGCTTATATTCCCGTGTACTTATTGCAAAGTACCCGTATAAGTTGTCAGTGGTTTGTTTGGTTTTGTGTGGTTGATGTTGAAAAAACATGACGCCCTATCCGCAACTGGGACCCTAATCCGCGGCACTAAGAGAAAATCCACAAGTCTCCGATCGATAGACGAAGCAAGACTTGTCAAAAAGTCGATAGTCGACAGGAGGAGCTCCAGGGACAGGCCCCCGAGACGTCTACCTATGGGCAAAGATCCGGGGAAGACGGACCAATTAGCGATGCGTCGAGTGGCGTAAAAGGAGGTGCTGCATCTCGCTCTAAGAAGAGCTTTAGCAAGTTTTGGTCTGGTTGTGGAGAGTCTTTTTTTTGCTTTTTTTCCCGAAGTATTTGCCCCTCATCAACAAGTCAACCTCCTTCGGGCCCATTCCCGCTGGAATATGGATCCGCGATGAATTCAAATCTCGCAAACCGCGTCAAAGACAAGAACCTCGGAATGGTTAGTGGGGATGACCTGTTAAAGTCTTTTACCCGCCGCCTTGGTCTCGCTCTTCATGGGCTCAAATTCTCGCGTGTTTGGCTGTCGTATGGTGTTGCACGTATAGCTGCACGCACATTGCAGTTGTGTGTACGATTACTCTGCCCGAGCTCACTGCCTGAGAGCTCTGTGTCTCTCTGCCTGAGCCGAGCACTTTGCCTGAGCTCATTGTCAGTATGTCGAGTTGCAGTTTCGGCTCTGCGTCACCATGCCTTTGGCTACCCAATACCAACACACAACTGATCACTGATACAAAACGAACCAAAAAACGAAAACGCGGTGTAATCATTGACGACCACAAAATCTTACATTTGGCTCGGCTCCAATCTTAAACGACATGGCAAAACGCCCGTTCTAACGCCAAAGCTGGACCTGTGCCCAGTGACATATCCCATCACCGGCACTCGTCCAGACACCTTAACTATTGAATCGCTACCGATATTTTCCACCTCAAGCCCTTGCAAGCCCTTCCCCCTTCTCGTCAACCCCGAAAGACAAAAAAAAATGTGACGAATGACGACCCGATCGACTGGTCCTGACGATTGCGCTTGGGAGGAGCCAAAGAAAGTTGCCGACGTGCAGCAGCCCCGTTCCGTTGGTGCTGACGGACTGGAGCCCGACAGAAATGCTGATGGACCATACCTAGCCAGCATGGATGGATGGATGGATGGATGGACCATCTCACATGAGGTAGTCGTACTTAGTCGTACTTATTCGGACTGTGAACACCACAACCAAACGTATGCAGGCTGAGGGATCCGAAATACAATATCATCATGGTGTGACACCCCACGATCTCTCCCTACCTACCGTATCCAAAAGTCTCAGTCTCACCATCCGATTCCGACTTCCGACTTCCACTTCACACTCATCCCAAATCCCATCCCTAGCCTCGCTTCAGGGTGACGTGACAGCCTACTTTAGCCCATCCTCCATCTCCAGCCATCACGAAACATATCAAACCTCACAAAATAAATTCCGATCCAAGTGAAGAATTTTTCACACCACACACCCCCGATTCACCTTACTAGCTAGCGCCGAATCGAAATGTCCAGTGTCCCAGTGTGGTCCGCAGCTCCAACCCAAAAATCATAACTAAACCCTACACAGTAGTCCTTGACGACAACGACAGCAGGAATACTCGACAAAAAAGCAATTATACAGCGTCCCCGGCTCCCACGGAATCGACTTCCGGGCTACCACCACCAACCACTGACACCACCACGATCGACAAGCCACGCGCCGGGCGCCCGCTTTCCCAGCCAGCCAGGGCACGCCGCAGAGGACTCCAAGAAGAGAGACATGGGGGCTGCTGCCGCTGCCAGGCTACCTACCTTTCCTTGCGCCTCTGCAGATAGGATACAGTAGCCTAGTAGGTACTTTGCCGGATGTCCCTCTTCGACGATCAGCGGTGTGTCGTGCGTACTGCGTTGGTGTGGGTTTTTGTTTTTTTTCTTTCTCTTTCTTTCTGCAAATAAAATAAAACGCTCAACGGGCGAGAAAAGGGACGTGGGAAGCTGAACGGCAGAGAACCTGGTCGAGCTGGTGTCAAGCTGGACCTGGGAACAGCGCTCGGATGGACAAGGGTCTTAGAGGCTACGGATACAAATACACAAGGGAGCATTAAAAGGGATACACTTATTCATATTCGTTGCCTAAGATGGTCAAAAAGTGGCTGAACGGCTAGCTAGTCATACTGATCCTGCCAACATCTGATACCCCATCATCTAGGTCTCAGGGTCCAAACATCGACCATCTTCAACCCCCTTGTACGGCAGTCGGGTTCGCGTGTGATACGAACTACCAGCCTTGAAATACCGCGTGACAGTAGCCGCTATCGATTCAAACACGGCGAGACAAGAGAATCAGGACGGCAATCCTGACTTCTCTAGCAAACGAAAGAGCACCCGGATGATGCACATATCTCGATAGTCGTCATCGCGCCACTGCTGTGGCACCGGAACTGCATTCCTTTGCTCTGACGGCTGGCTTGACTGTCTCAAAATGGGTAGTCCAGGAAGCATGGTTCGCAGAGTCGCAACACTCCTTGCTTCCGGCTTCACACGTATCTCGAGCCTGGCCAACATGGCCCCTGAGCTTGTTGCCCGAGTGTCCTCTTGAACAATCCCCATGGATCTTCTCGATGATGTTGTAGCCATTCGGAGGATTTGCACGAAACCGGGTCCCTTTGCGCACGTTGCACATTCGCATCGGAAACGTTTTGTCGATGACGATTTGGCTTGGCTCCTGGCCTCCCTCAAGAGCCGCATGTCAAGCCCTCAGCGTGTCTCCACTCACTCCACGACGCCCGTCAAAGAAACTGAAATGCTTGGGTTCGACGCATAGTGTTACGTTGGGGGATATGCGTGGAGCTCGAGTTGCACAAACACCTGGCATTTTGCGTGGCGACGGCAAAAAGAAAGCCTTCACAAGTCTGATTCGCTGTCCTTGCTGGGCCGCATGAGGGACCTAGACGGTGGCTTGAGGCGGTCTGGGAGGTTTCTTGGCGCCATGATCAAGTCCTGAATTGCATAGATATGCAGGGGATACTCTGCAAAAGCTAGGCGGATGCTGACTTGTAGACGACACCAATCGTTACGACGGACACCGGCGCAGACAATCGCCGACGAGCCTACACTTAGGCACTGGTGCTGAAGTAGTAGTTCTCCCACAGATACTCGTAGTCCTCCAGAATGCCACCAACCAGATTGGGTACTCTGGATCGCACGCCGCCGACAACACCCTTCATGATGTTCTCGTAGAATGCTCCGCGCATGGTCCACCATCCCATGGCCCAGCCTCTCTTGCTCCATTCGTCGCGTTCGAGTGGCGTTGTCCTGAAGCCCCGGTCTCTGAGTTGCCGTGCTGCGTATTCGACGCTCAGGCCGACTAGCCACGGGGTCCATGACTTCTTATTCTTGCTTTTCGACAAAGCAATGGCATACACCAACGGTGCGAGGATGTGTAGCACCTCTGCTGCCTGTGCGCTACCCTGTAGCTGATTCAGCAGCTTTGCAGCTGGTTTGATATCCTCTGCTGTCAACACCTTGCCCAGGAGATAGCCGCTAATATCACCAGCATTGGGCAGCGAGGGAAGGCTCATGCCCGTCCTGGGCATCGTCCAGTCTTTCTCATGGGGCTTTTGCGCCTCACCGCTGTCTTCTGGTGCATGCCCATTGATCGGCTCTTCCAAAATATCCTTTAAAGCGGCGTCACTTTCGGCCTCGGTTTCTTCAGGAATCGGCTCACGTTCCGGGAGGACGGGCGACACAAGAGGACGAGAGCGCGTCACGCGCAATAGTAACAGGCGGCAGATGGCCTTGATAGCTTCCAAGAGCACAACGACGCGCCATCGACTGCGCTCGCCACCACGCCTCTTGGCGGCCATCTCGCATAGTAACTGTGTGTATGTGACCATTTGCAGTAACATGGCAATGCGCCGGTACATGGGACTGCGCTGAGTCCAGTATTTCGTATATCGGGCATGAGGGGATGGCAGTCGCGCCATCGGGATGCGCGACAGGGCGCGCATAAGAAGGGTATCATGATAAAGAGAAAGGAGCTGTACACTCGAATGGACAGTTTCGGAAGCAATTTCGGCGTCGCGGAATCGACCTTTCAGAGGCAGTGTTAGAGGGGCGATAGCAAAGACAGTCTTGTACGGAGTGGTGCCTTACCAGGGATGATATAGGTGAGGGACCGTAAGGCCGACTCTATTTGAGAGACCTGACTAGAGTTCTTGGTGATGAACTCTTCGTACATGTGAAGCCATTGCGGCGGTAATGAAAGAACGGCGCGGATCTTGGACGGCTGATGCGACAGTCGCGTCTTGTTGGGGATATCGGCAGAAGTCGACATGATGGAAGGATCAAATCATTAGGGCGTGGCGAAAGGTTGCGCAACGAATAGTCGAACCGAAGGCGGGATTGAACAAGTACAGAGGAAAATCGAGCGCGCGGTGGTGATATCAGCACGAAGAGAACAGAGAAGAGTGCGAAATGTCAAGATGAAGCAAGCGGTTGTAGATGACAACGCAGCGACGTTGGGATTTGTGAAGGAAGTGAAAGTGGTTGGTGGAAGTGCGAATTAGGTATTAACGTAGGTAAGCTCTCTCACAAACGCCAGAGTCGAGGTGGTGCAGGTGTATCCGTAGGTGCAGAGGATGGATAGTTTAATGACGGAAAGTTGCAGGGACCTCGGGGGGGCACGCTCATCGCGACTGACGTGGAGTGCGCCTGTTGCTCCTGGGCTCCTGCTGATGAGCCCGCGGGCGACCGACCGTAAGCCGAGGTCGCGGCGTCGCCTGCCACCTTTCTGGCCTGCCACCTCAGGCAATTGCGCTGGGTCGCTGGCATGAGATAGGAAAGTGCATCATCACCCGCCTGTCCAATGCATTGGGCCAATGAAATTACGTTGCATGCCTCGGTAAGGACAATCCCTGCCGCATCAGAGCACCCGTCTACTTGCATTTCCTAGGTACCTAAGGGGGAGAGGGGGGTAAAAACATCGGCCGTTCAGGGTGTTCTGTTAGTGGCCATAGTGCCCATAATCAACTAACCGAAAGTCGGCGCCCGGGTTCATGATGTGTGTATTACATTAGACCTCTGCACTTTCCGTTCCTTCCTCAAGTTTTTTTCTTCATTCTAGATCCATAATAAGCAGACCTGAACATCATGAAAAGGCTAACATTTAAGATTTAAATATGATGTCTACGTACTCGCTCATAACACTGGGTAATAATGTCGATTCTGGCCATACTACTATCTGTTCATTCTGGGGTTATACTGGAGACACGCTTTTATACGGGTTAACTACAATAGGTCTGGCCACTGCGTTTGGCCGATGTTTTTGGGTGGGCATCTCCCGGGTAGGTACCTTACCTCTACTAAGTACTATAGGTATTAACGCTTGGATCGACATATTCTTATGGACGTTAAGTGAGCCTCACGACGACATCAGCAATGAACCTCACTCGCACTACACTCCTGCAGGCCTTGGCTCCTTGGAAGCATATTCTTATTTGCACAAAGCGATTGGCGTTTGTGTTCTATATCCTCGCAGCACCACAACCTAGCACTGTTGTGTCACACTGACAACCCGTGAACATAGCTGCAACAAGTACATGGAAGGTGCCAGAGACAGCCTGCTCTGCAGCACATGTTGTCTTCGTCTCCAATAGAAATGGTAGGGTATCACAAAAACAAAATGCCTTGCCCGAGGCCAAACTCCTGTGTGGGCAGAACGAGGCTCCGCCTTTGATCCCAAGTCCACTCATACTTAGAGGTCCATCTTGTACCTGAATGGATTCGATATGGCTGCATCTCGTCTTGGTGCATTGTTCGAGTCCCCTATTCGACTGCATCAAAGTCTCTCGAATCCAGCATCTGCGAGCTCAACTCCAGTAGGGAGCATCGGCCGCCCCTGCATCGGGAACGGCCAAAAGAGAGGGTTCTCCAACACCTTGGCCGCCCGCTCGACTGATGCTTGTCCTGGTTCCGTGGGTTTCGGGCCCATGGCTACCGCCGGGTTCGGTACATCAGCTGCATCGGCGCTGCCTCCCCAAACGCATATAAAGTCATCTTCAATGACGTTCGGTGCAAAGAAGTTGAGACTGCTCGTGTACGGCCTAACGAGATGTGCGTACTCGGCATCCGACGCTACTTCGCCGCCCATGTCGACGTCCATGTTCCACTTCTTCGCCAGGTACCGTAGTATGTTCAGCGCCTGTTCAGCAAAATGGTGGCACGGCGCCATCTCCTCCAGATCCCGAATACCTTGTTGGATGGCTTCTACAACGCGAGGCGGATACGAGGGTGGATCATTGGGGCCGGCGTTCTGACCTGGCCCTTCAAAGGCCTTCTGCAACGGCAATGACGACGAGGTTGTGGCACCAATGGCTAGATGCATAATGGCTGATGTGAGCACAAAGTACGGGACAAACGATGGCGTTCGGCGTAGAGTGTACAATTGCGAGTAGGATCGCAATAGGCCTTGGATAGCATCTGCTGCCTGCCCACATACGTCTCGGGGTAATAGCTTGGAGCCAATGATTTTGAGCTTGATGAGGGGTCGAAACAGAAGAAGGATCGCGAAATGATAGTACAGGCTGTGGCGATATTCGGTTAGTGCATGTTGCAGCCATGTATCTGTGTTGAGCAAACTTACTGCGCGAACAGGACCGCCGGTGTGAAGTTGTGCCCAAGCCTCAGAACCTCTGGTATCTTGTCATACCAGTTGAGGTACTGGGTATAAATGCCGAGGAGGTCACGGCTAGTCAGCGGCCGCCCCGGGGAGTGCAAAACGTAGAGGCTCTGGTGCACGAGCTCGCTCAGTTCACAAAAGCACTTATATACGGATCGAACGTTGGATGGCTGTTCGGCGGACCGCTGCATGGGTGCGCCTATCGATGAACCTGAGCCTCTGTCTCTTGGAGAGCCTGAAGCCTCGCCTAAATTTATCAAAGACTTACCATCATCGGTGTAAGGGATCCAGAGAGAGGCTTCTATGTCATCTATTATGGCAGGCTTTGGCGGCAGATGAGGAAAGCAGGAACATTGCGGAAGCGAGCCGGTCGCTAAAGACCACGCACTGGGAGACAGTTAGGTTGCGAGACATGACGCCAGACGTTCATACAAGAAACTCACTGGTCGAGAGCGAATGCGCCCCAGAAAGTTGCAGCCTGAACCGCAAACTCGTCATCATCTCCATCTTCCTCGAGTTGATGAAGTCCCATTTCGATAGCAAGACGAATGCTTTGTCCGGCATAGTACCAGCTTTCCGAGTCTCTGCCGCAGCTGGCTTCTCGAATAGACATTATGCCCAGAGCTTGGATGGTTGTGAGATTGTGGTGGTTTTTCTCTTTATAGAATAGACTCTGGGCTTCTTTGAAAAAGTGATCGCCAGAGGTGTACGGGTCGTTGGGATTCGCTCTTGTGCTCGGCTTACTGGAGAAACGGCATCCGAGGGCCAGAAGCGCATTCACGAGTATCGGGGAGCAATAGCGTTGGACGCCATTTTGGAAATCCCTGAGGAAATGCTCCTTACTCAGAGACGCAAAGGTTGGATATTCCCAACAGAAGTACAGAGCCAGCAAATGTTGTACCAACGAGCCGTCGTCCGTAATGTTCGTCCATTCTTCGGGGGGCAGCTTCATGTGAGGCAATTCTAACGGGGCTAGCACCTGGTCGGCGCCCTGATGCTTCGAGCCGCCTTCGGAGGCTTCCGTGTTACTCGCCGACTCAGCCCAGGTGTCGAATAGCCCCTGTGGCGGCCTATTGTTGTCTGCGCTCCAGTTCATTGCGTCGGGATGAGAGTTACTTCGGGTGCTCTGGCTATGTGATGATGGGTGCCAAGGGCTGTTCGGATCAATCTCCTGGCGCAAGCCAGACTGCCCAGTAATCGGGCTCATGGCCACGGAGCCATGATCTCCTAGATTCCTGGTTCTGATGGGCGCCGGAAATCCCCCTGGGCGAGTCCCTGGGCCTACGCTTGTATCGCTGGACTGTTCGTTTAGGCGTGCAAAGGAACTCCTCGCACCACCACCACCAGCACCACCTATCCAGTCCGAGACTGATTCAAGCGATTGTCCATTGCGCAATCGTTGCAACACATCCTCCCACATATCGGGGCGAACGAGGGCGGCAATGACCTGATCGCTACTTTTCTGGCGTTGGCGCAAATTCTCGAGCTCGGTTCGGAGATTCTCCTTGGATTGGCGGACTGGGACCTCGTAGACACATTCTACGTCCTTCTGGGCCTTGCACCGACCGCAAGGTCTTTGTCCGTCGCACTATTCGCGAAATTGTCAGCGCAAAGAACGCGTGGGTGGGCGCGGGGGTACTTCTGGTGCTGGCTTACTTTTGCTCGTTTTTTGCGACACTCGGTACAGGCATTGGGCGTGACCACTCCTAGGCCTCTCCTCCTCTTGGACAGCTGAGCAGCATTGGAGCTACTTGACGGCGTAGGCGCATTGGGAGGGGCGGAGTTACCAGAGGAAGCGGTTGCAGGTGGTGCCCCCGCGGAGGAAGCAGAGCCGGCGGCGGGTTGTGGCTGCTGTTGGCTATCGGGTGCCTCCTCCATATCGGCAGTAGTTGAGCGCTTCAGGTTGACTGGGTGTAGGCTCGTGCCGAGTCTACAGGGCGAACTCGACTTTTAGGACTTTGTTTGTGAATTGACATAATGAGGCCGTTCAAAGGCGGAAGCTGGTCGTCATGGGTCCGAGGAAAGAACTGAAAACTCCGGACAGTTGTGGCCCAGCAGCAGTGCCACCCAGCAGCTACGTTGAGTGTCTAGATGGTTCGCGCGAGGTATAGAGCTGACCAAGAGGCGCGCGCAGGGAAGGTGTCGCGCGTAAGAGTCGGAGGGTTCGCGGGAGGGGGCCGAGAATGGCAGGATTGCGCAACAGGTGAATTGACCTTGGCTAGCCGTCGGTGCTATCGTTATCGTCGAGCGGCGGACAAGCGAGCGATGTCGAGAGACGGGAGGACGGCAGGTTGACAGCGAGAACTGCCCCTCTTTGGTAAAGGCACTTGCTATCGAACCATGCGCTCGGTGTACAATTGGATATGCAATTATCCTGTGGAGAAAGGGTATGTGACACTGGAGAATTCTTGTGCGCCAACCGTTAGGATGTCATTAGGCTGGTGGGAAATGGCGTGGGTGGTGAATGACCGAGAAGAATGTGAGGCAGGGAGCGCAAAATTTGGACAGCCCGTGATGAAGAGAAACGGGTGGTGGGAAAGGCGGGAAGGGATGGCAGTGAGCAGCGAGCGGCCAGGTCGGGTCCCCAGTCAGAGAAGACGGACGAGGCGACGGAAGGAGAAAAAGACGGTAGATGAAGCACAGACACACAAGATGCAATCTCGTAATTAAGGCAAGTGCTCCTTACGGAGGAGGGTATCTTACGAATACAGACTGAGGGAACTTGGAAGGGAAGGAAGCCCGGGACGTAAGGTAAAGGTACCTTGCCTTGGCCCAGGTTGGTCCTAGGAACTCCTTGGGAAGGAGGAGGTACGGATACGTGACAGGGCAGCTCCTTCCCCAGATTCCGAGCTTCCAGCCGCGCAAGGTGCAGCTACCTGAGATTGTACTCCCGTCGAAGGCGCGAGGGGTAAGGTAGGTAGGTAGGTGAAACTTTTTTGCTTCCAAGGCAGGGCTGGGACGCCTCAGGCAAACCTGAAAGAAGTTGAGACTGACTTCTTTTCAGCTGAATCAAGTACCTGTCTTTCTTTCTGTACTCGTGGAAATGACTGGCTAGCGACGACAAAGGCAAGCAAGGCACACGCATTGAGCCTTGAGGTAAGCAAGTAAGATGTGCGCAGCTTCGATTGGTAAGGGTGCAGATTGAGCTTCATGCAGCCAATTTACCTTACCGCCTTGGATAAGTAAGCATCCACGATTTGGCATTTTCTTTTTTGATTAATGTTCTGTATAATAAGTCGTCAGTCACATTGAGACCACGGTACCCTTCACTCACTGCCCGAGAACATTTCATCTCAAGAGCAAGAAAGCCAAGCGAGTTGCGATGGTTCTTTTCAGATAAGCGGCACTACGTCACTCGTTAGCGGTAACTATCTCCACTTTCTCCATGTAGCTTCCCAATCCCATCAGTCAGAAATCTGCCCGTCGACGAGTCCGAGCGCTAGCAATGCGTATTTTTCGCAGGTTCTCAGTCCATGGTAAATACCGTATTATGGATAAGGTGCCCGTATATCTCCTCCGTTTTCTATGCGTACCTTACCCTAACTGGCGATTCGATGATCCAATAGATCGTAGCACCTTAGCCTGCTGCCGCTACCAGGAGAGAGAGCCGTGGGTCATCCTGATTTGGCTGCTTCTGAGCCGGCAGTCGACAATTCTGGAAACCGGGCAATGGCCCCCAACCTAGAGATCGTCTCATTGCTTGGGGACCTATTGTCAGGTAAAGTTGTAATGCTTCGGGTACCTTGAGTCACAGATAACTCCAGGCTCTGAAGCACGAGAGTTTCCTCGACGGGTTCTTCGAGACAGATATCACGATCTCAGACCGGGCTGGAACTTTTCCTCCGCTGTAGTCCACTCTGGTGATGCTGAACTGCGATTATGGGGCATCGAGCATAACGCGTTCTGGCAAAGACCCTGGTCGGCGACCCTCACTGCGTCAGGGGTTTTCCTTGCCCGCTAGAGCAGAGGTACCTGAGGTGGTCGTCAAGTTGGAGCTCTGATACGACGGTGTCCTGGCATATCTCTCATCGTGATTACCTAGGCATCCCGAGGCTGGATGTGGATGGATGGACTTCTTCCGACTGGAGTAGGTAGTCTGAAGTGTGAAAAGAATTAGGTTTTTGCTGCCCCCGCGCCAATAGGCACAAACAACAAGGGCGTTGGTCTTGTAAACTTTTGCTCCGGGGCCTCATCTAGGTAGACATATATCCACGCGTGAAAAGAGAAAACAATGAGCACGGGATAGCATGGGGGCTCCTTGCCTTGTAATCCCGGGACCAGGGCACACATGGGCTGAACGGTTGAACGAGATCCAACTCCCAGCACGAACATGCGCCATGCTGAGGCGTTTCGAAGAGACGGAAATGCACTACACTTTCGGAAGAAAGAATCAAGCCACACTAAGCATCCCACCTATGCCGTGCGCGAAAGCTCGCGACATCGTGGCTTGTGCGCCCAACGCTTAGCTCGTTCGCACACCCACGCGCTCTATCGTCGGCTAACATTCCAAGGTGTTTGTTCCCCGACCCCTCTTCTCCGAGACAGATTCTACCCTGCCTTAGTTGGAAGCGAGTGTCTTTGCCGAAAACAGGGCAGCTCTTGGGGGTAGCACATCCTCCCGAGCAAGCCGCCAGGATGGATCACGGCTCTAGGGAGACGGAATAAACTCCGTCGCGGGAGCTGGATGCGCTCTGTCTAAGGATGTGATACATAACACAATTACTACAGGACACTTAAAGTCGTGTTGACATCTGCCACAGTTAGGTGCCTTGCAGAGTCATGTGAGGTTCCAGCAGTTCAGCCTCAGGAGCTCTTCGAGTTTCCTCCGCTCCAGCACTGAAAAAGAATGTGATGCCGCGATTCAGGGATCACCAATTCGAATGGTTCCATCTATTGGAGGTGGGGACAAATTGTGACAGGGCCGAATTCTCCGCCAAAGGCCGTTTCTTTGACGTCATAAAATCGAACTGGGCCTAGCCCGATCATCGATAAGAGTAAGTCCCGAGGTGCTTCACATACGGATTTCTTACCTAAGGTACTCACTCCACCGAATCGTAAGCTTGGCTTTGGTGTAGTAAATGCGGCCTCTGCGGTCGTACATTCAAAGACATTGACAAATGAACTTTTCAGCATTGTGAGTAGTCGCAAGGATGAGAATCCCGCAAGTCTCTGTGTGTTTGCATAGCAACGTATCCTGATCGCCAGTGGAAGCAGAAGCCGAAGCCCACCCCATCTCGTCCCGAGCCTCCAGATGACGCCGCATCTGGCCCCCAAAACCTTGTTCCTGAATATGTATTTTATACAATTAAACCTTGCAACTCCAATCCCATGCATTGAGTACCCCTATTCCGCTGTTCGCTCTCACTCCTCTGTAGGATAGTAAATTTCTTTGAGAGTCTCCTTGTAAGCCTACTTGTGCTTCCTCAGTAACCCTTGACGGGGCTCAGAGCTCGTCCGTATTTCGTGGGACTTCGCAGGCGGTCGCGATCACCCTTGCTTGGGCTACGGCGTCCTGAAGGGGTTTGAGGCGGCATGATCGCCTTCATCTTTGGCGGCGATGCACCGTCGGTATCGGTGTCGTCGTTGTCATACTGCAGGTGTCGGCGGTGCGATGGCGTCTGAACGGGGACCCACATGTACGCCTGAGAGGGTTCCGGTATCACTGATGGCTCGGGAGCCATGCCAGACGAAGCGCGATGTGATGGCGTAGGGCGGGATGGGCCGGCATTATTCGCCATGCGACCCAGAGCAAGGTTGTTGGCAATGATGCTGAGGAAAACGACGCCAAAGAAGAAGAGCTGCAATTGTTAGCTGGACTATCATTAGATAAAGATAAGAGATGCTGCTTACCCAGGCTTTCATCTGCATGGCACCAGCAAACTCATTGAGGATTTCGGCGATTTGCTTAACCGTGACCCGAACTCTCATGATGGCTGACGAGTCCTGAATCATACACTCAGCCCACTCATCGCACATGGCCTTCAGAGCAGGCCGGTCCTTTTTGATGCACTCATTCAGAGTATACTCCGTCCGGCATTGGGTGATCCTGTTCTCAATGTCCAACCGAGCTGCATCGTTGGCGTTTCGAATATCCGACCGCACAGAATCGAACATGGTCCAACAAACGAACACAAAGCCCGATACAATGGCGCAGTTGATCAGAAGTTGAATCCAGCGGTAGAGATTCTCGGGCGCATTTGGGTGTTCCTCCAATGTGTGGAAGAGATTGCTGATCCAGCTGCGATTCTTCTTCGTCTTTCTGCTGCCCTTGCCACCACGCGCACCTGCCGAGCGAGATCCACTGTCGTCCGAGTCTTCCTCCGACTCATCCCAGTCCTGTGACCCGTGGAACCGGACGCTGCCCACGTCCCTGTCCATGTTGTGTCGCTTCCGCTTCCTTATAGCGGGGTAGTCTCGTCCACTTCGGGGGATCTCGCCCTTGCCGGGGACATGGCGCTTCAGTGACTGGAGGCCAGCTTTGCCGTAGCGAAGATTCTTGTTGACCTTGGACGGAGTAATTGTGCCCATGTTCATGTCGCCGAATCTATCGACGTCGGGTGTGTCGTCTGGGAATTCCGAATTTTCCGTCAAGGCGGGGCTAGTCTCTGCGCCTGAAGCTTCCGAAAAAGCGCTCTCATCGAAAGGTTTGCGCGGGGTAGTGAAGGCAGGGTTTCGGAAAGGCGGCGCGGTGTTGCTACTTTGTATTCTAGGCGAGAAGAGAGACGTCTGTGGTAAAGCTGGAAGAGGCTTAGACGGGGTGTTCGCAAAGAGGTTCGGCTTGGATGGGCTAGAGAATGGGTTCGGCTTGGAGCTTGTGGCGAATTTGTTTGGCGAGTTGAAGACTGAGTAAAGACAGGAAGGTCAGTAAGTATTCTCGAAATAAAGGCCAGCAGATGACCTATGACAATGGTCTGGATATCGTGACTGGGGTGTGAGCTCACTATTCTGATTACTACTTCTCGCAACGTGGGAAAATGGGCTGGTCGCATCTAGGGGACCTCGGTCCTGGTATTCCCATTCCATGGGACTTTCGTAGGTTCGTCGATCCATTGTGAACTTCTTTGCATGCGACGATCCGGGAAGACAAAGTGAAGTGGTGATGTGGGTGGGAAGTGCCTAGCTCTTGTCGCGATCGGTCCGGGGGTGGCGGCCAAGGGTCGAAATATTCTAGCTGCTGTCAAGAACAAACCACAATTCTAGAAATCAAAGTAAACAAACCGTGCCTCAGGCAACGGAACCTCCCGGTGGCTTCGACGTTAGCTCTTTGGGACGTGGTAAGGTACGTACCGAAAGGAGGCAATTGCATTCGGTCCACTAGCCACTGCTGAGCAAAGTTGATGACCCACTTTCAAGGCACCCTGTGGCTGGTATATCCTACCGTGCCTACCCAGTTCCTTTACGACTTGAGCTTGGGCCATCTGAAAATCGAAGGGCGACGACGGCAAGGCAAGGCGGCTCTTTTTACACCATCCATTTCATTGAAACCAACCCAATCCTCACTCACCAACCTCCAGAGTCGCGCTCCGAATATTCCTACAAAGCGTGCGCACATTCGAATCAATCACAATGTCGGATATCGAATCCCTCCCCGAATCCCCGGCGCCCGACCGCGATGAGGAGCGCCGTGAGGATGCCGCCAACGCCTCCGACGACGACTTGCTATCAGAAATCGACGAGGATCAGTTCGAGGATTACGACCCAGAGACGGCAAACATTGAGGATCGTCCAGTAGCTGTTGACGAAGATGTGGCCAAGACGCTCAAGGCGTCAAAGCGCAAGATCGCCGACGGCGCAAAAGCGAAGAAGCCCAAGGAAGGACGCCGAGAGAAGAGATCACGAGATGATGAGGTCTCTGGCGATATGGATATCGATTCGAGAGGTCCTGCCCGAAAGTCGAGACGCCAAGCCGATGCCGGCGAGAGGAAGCCGCGGCCCAGCAAGCCTGCCGAGCCTGAGATTGATGATGAGTCTCATCTCAGCCCCGAGGAGCGCAGACGGAGAGCGATTGATCGGGCGTTGGACGCGGCCATGAAGGGTCCCGTCAAGCGCAAGAAGAAGAAGGACGAAATTGTGAGTAGCATCGCGTGATTTGCGGTCTTGGGCGTGCTAGCTAACGGGGGACAATGCAGGACCTCGAGGACGAAATCGATGAGGAGATTGCCGATCTCAAAGTCGCCATGGAGAAGGCCTGCGAAGCCGATAACACAGCGCGCGAGGCTGGCCAGCCAGCTGTTCACAAGCTGAAGCTCTTGCCATCAGTGACCGGCCTCCTGAACCGGAACAACATCCAGCACGCCATCCTCGATCCCGATACCAACTTCCTTCAGCATGTCAAGTTCTTCCTCGAACCTTTGAACGACGGCAGTCTTCCGGCATATAACATCCAGCGCGATATCTTCAACACGCTTATCAGGCTCCCCATTGAGAAGGAGACGCTACTGAGCAGCGGCATCGGAAAGGTTGTCTATTTTTACACCCGATCCAAGAGACCTGAGCCCAGCATCAAGCGCATGGCCGAGCGTCTCCTCGGCGACTGGAGCCGACCGATCCTCAAGCGGACTGACGACTACAAGAAGCGCCACGTCGAGACACGCGAGTTCGACTATGAGTACGTCACAATTGCGAATCGCCCTCTGATTACAATGCTAACAATGTCTCTCCAGAGCTCTCAAAATGTCCCAGCGCCAGGCTGGAAGCTCTCAGTTCACACTCACGCAGCGCCCATCCCAATCCGCCAGAGAATTGGAGCGTGAGGCTATGCTCGCACCGGTCGCTACATCGAACCGTGCCCGTCCCGGAGGTCTTCCCGACAGCTACACCATCGCGCCCAAGAGCACCTACGATGTCTCGCGGGCTCCCGAGCATCGTCCCATCGGTGCTGGTGGTCTAGAGGCATTCCGAAAGATGACCCAGAACCGCAAGAAGCGGTGAGGCAGGAAAGAGGTCAGGGAAGCTGTCAGGATAGGCTAGAAATCAGCCAACATGGGCCCCCGGGGAGAGGGCGATGATTTTCTTTCACTGGGCTTGATGAAAAAGAGGAGCTCAAGACTTTGTATTATTTGAGCATCAAACTGGCGTTCGGGGTCCGAGGGCTGTGATAAGCAAAGGATTTTTAGGAACCGAAGAGAAGAAGAATGCAAACATTTCAAGGAACCGAGTGAAGAACTCTTGGCTTTTTCCGTGAATGGCATTGTGAGACACAACTAGATATCTTTACCACAATGCAAGCCTTGCACGAAAGCAGTTTATTTTTTATTTTTTTTTGGTCGAGAAGGGTGCTGCGGCGGCTTACACTGATTTAAATGATAAACCTGCCTACCTTATCTATCTATAGCTCATTCGTGTACTTGAGCCCAGCGCACAACATTGAGCAAGATGAAAGAAAGCAACGCCCGCCCTTTACATCGCATCGCATCGTCTCCCTCCATTTTCTCTCTCCAATTGGACGAAACTCTCCCTCCCATTTTCCATCAGGGTACCGTTACCAAATTAGCATTCACAAATCACAAGCGTTAGTTTGAGGCACACATTACTTGTGGAAGGAACTGACAATGGTTCACGAGCGCACAAGGTCCTTCCGTTTGACTGTATGGTAAGAGCTTCCCATTTGTCCCATCCTTTCCTATTCTCCTTAATTCTATTCATTGTGTCTGACAAAAATTGTTAAACTCTGGCTACGCCTCACCACATGTGATTTTTGGCTTTCTCCATCCCTCATATGCGGACGTCCCCTTTCCTTTCCGTTCATTTCCTTTCATTCCTTCCTTCTGTACTTCCTCCCCCGCTCCCGCTCGCCATCTGCTCCTTTTCCTCTATCATGTGCAGGTACTTTCATCAAGTTGTAGTTTTCGAGTGTATAGCAGCGTACAAAGCGCTTCTGTGTTTGAGCACTTGCAAGGAGCAAAACCTCGCGCGTTGTGCTATAGAAAGGTTGCGAACATCAGGCCAAAGTCAGGGTACAACAACGCTGGCGAACAAAGACGCAGAAATGCTGATGATGCAATGCAGGGGGGGGTGGGAGCCCGCGACCGTTCAAATAAATTACGTTAATATCTTTGGTGGCCCCCCCTGCATTCAAAGCGGTCATCGTTTCTGACTCTCCCTACCGTTTCCGCACCTCAGTCGCCCAGCCATCGATGCCCTCGCCTCGGCTGCCAACCTCGAGCCCATTGATTCGGACACCCTTCATCCCCGGCGTGTCATCGAGCCACACATGCCCAGCCATACCTCCGGCATTGGCACGCTTCTCTGGTACCAGCTCAAGCATGGGCGTCAGGAAATCAGCAATGCGCTTTCCCTCCTCCTCTTTGAAATGATATTTCTCACGGAGGACGTCTGTCAGAGCCCAGTGGCGCAAGCGGTGAATGTTTCGCAGTTCGCCTTTTCGGTTGAAAATCTCTTGGGACCACTTGCCGGACAGGCAAAGTGATTTGGGGAAGGGCCCCAAAAGCTCGATAATTTGTGCAATGTGGTCGTCGTCCTTTCCATACTTGGTTCCGGATTGAGGGTCGAAGAGATAATCTCCTGTGATGAGTTCGAAAACCTGGAAATTTGTCGTTAGACGGGATACGATCAAGAGTACCTGCTACGACCCAGAAGGCAATAGCACTGATTAGGGTAAGTAGGGTATGCTTACCATTGCTGCCATACTCCAAACATCGGTGCTGGCGCCCCATTTCGCGCCCAGAATGACCTCTGGCGACCGATACTGCCGAGTCTGGATATCGTTGGTAAAGTGGTGGTTGACCCAGCAGGCGTTGCCCAAATCCGCAATCTTGACACTAATAACATCGAATGCATGCGCATCATCCGCCTTGCGCTTATCTCCCGAAGATGGTGAGTTGGTCTTGTCGAGTGAGATGCCGGAAACTTCCTTCGTGAGAAGATCGCTATGATGAGAAAGGGCGGTCAGTATCAGATGAACCTCATCCGCTATTTGGGCTATGTGGGGTAATGCTCACGCTGTCTTTTCACGCGTCTTTTGGTCAGCGTCGCGCTTGGGGGATGCATTACTAGATGTCTTGCCATCTAAAATCGCAGCAATAGTCAGCACGCGGTCGCAAAGCAGAACATGATGAGAATGGAAGACTTCGTGGGTCGGCAGGCCCGTTGTGAATGGAGTGGCGCAAATCGCGGGGTGCGAAGTGGCGGTGTTGAGAGGGGGGCGCGTACCTTCGTGTAGCACCTGACTAAGGCTGGAGTTGGTGCTAGGGAAGAGGTTGTTGTGGTTGAAGCTGGCATTCAGAGGAGACGGCAGCGGCTGGCTGCCTGTGATGAGAGTGCGTCTCCTCCTGCGACCGTTTCTGTTGTTCTCTTTGTCGCCAGGTTCGCTCTTAACGACCTTCTTGACAATCTGTTCGACGTCGCCAATCTCGATGAGGACGTTCTCGGGCTTCAAATCGGTGTGAATAATGCCACATTCGCGGTGTAGGTAGTCGAGGCCGAGCAGCACTTGCTTCGTGATCTGCTTGACCAAAGCCGTGGGGATACCTCGGTGGTTCCATTTCTTAATGAGACCCAACAGGTTCTCGCCCAAAACCTCGAACACCATACAGACGTGTGTGCCGTTGGGACCTTTGTGTTCAAAGGAGTCGAGCAAGCTGACTACATGCTTGCGGCCGGGGTGGTCTGGCTTGGCCTGGACAATCTTGTTGAGGAGCTTGATTTCGTCGATGGCGGTCTCGGTGTAGTGCGCCGCAGAGCGAACAACCTTCAAGGCGACGTGCTTGCCAGAGTTGTTGTCTCTAGAAAGCCAGACAGTGGAGAAATGACCCCATCCAAGCTTGCGCACGATGGTATACTTTCCGTCCTTGAACTTTTCGCCAATCTGGACGGGGTGGTAGCCGCCCTTGCAGTAATCCTCGGAATCCTCCTCGTCGGCTGTGTTCTCGGCGGGGTCTTCGCCGGATGATGTCGAAGTGGGCGAGTTCTGCATAGCAGCGGACAATTGATGGGTTCTATCAGAGGAGAAGGAGTTAGCTTCAATGTCGCAAGTGCAAGTTTGTGTAGCTGTGGTTCAGGTCATGGCGCGCAAATTGGCAAGAAGCGGCGTCGTGTCTGTGATTGAAATGGCGGGGGTGGAGTCTAGCAGGTTGGCGGGCAAAGATTTCGCTGCCGCCAGACGGGCCACGGAATGCGACAACGGGAGGTGAAGGAAGAGCAGAAACCTTGTCTTTAGGAAGCTCATGTTTGCAACATTGCGCATCCGGCGCGAACAGTCCTATAGCAAAGAAAGGAATGGATCGAAAAAGAGGATCGAACGTCAAGCTGAGGACCGAGCGATGGGAAAGATCAAAACAACAAGCGGAAAAAAAGGGAAATTTGGCAGAAATGATTGCCAGGACAAGATCCAGTGCGAAACTGGTGCCGTTCACAACATGGGAAAGTGAAAAGGTAGAACGAAGTGACAGCGGCAAGTCCAGTCGAAGGTCGACTAGGGTGGATAAAGAAAAGGTTGAAAAGGGAAGATGGATGGGAGGGAAAGGATGGTAGGTGGAAAGCGGTCGAGGCGAGGCGAGGCGGCGGGTGAGGCGCGGGATGTGTTCAGCCAGCAAAAAAAAGGCAAAAAAAAAAAAAGAACAGCAGGCCAGCGTGGTTAAGACCGATAAGGTAGGTAGTGAGCAAAGAAGGTTTTTTTTTTTAGAGGCAGGTATCCGTAAGGCAGGTACGTAGGAAAGGATACAATGCGTGCGTGCCGCTGCCGCTGCTGCTCGTTTCTGTGTGTTCTGTGTTCCTCTCTCTTTCTCTCTCACACACACACACACGCGCTCTCTCTCTCTCTGCAGTATCCCCAACTAAAAGGCACTGGAAGCGGGACACTCTGGACGGATAAGGCACAGAAAGGGCACCCCCAGTCGGTAAGGTAGCAAGAAAAAAGCAGGTAATGAGAGGAGAGGAGGGGTCGGTGATGTGAGTGAGGAGAACGGGCGGGAACAGCAGGCCAGGAACGGGGGGTCAGAAGGTAGTCTGGCGACGCAATAAGAATCCCAGGCCTGGGCCACTTGGGCCAGGGTCGGGTAGCGTCACCTCAGGGTCAGGGTGGACGGTGAGGGTCAGCGGGGACTGCCCACCTCAAAGCCAGAGCAGATCGTCCTCCCGTCGGGTTCAGGTTGTATTCGTAGTCGCGTCAGCAACAGCAACAACCTGCCAGTGGCAGCAACAAGCAAGCATCCTGGGCCCTGGGATACCTTTACCGCGCCTGCACCTACCCCAAGCCACAACTTGGTAGTTTGGGTGTTGGGTGAGTGGGTTGAAGATTCGTGATACCTCTGTCACCACCATGTGAGCGTGATACCAACTTGGTATGCCGACCTGTAGTCTCCAACAGTGGACATTCACAATCTAGTTTGTCTGTCCAATGCCAACCAGGCCACAGTCCAGTCCAGTTGAGTCCAGTTAGGTAGTCCAGTTGGCGATGGTCGATGACGGTGACGGTCATGTCTCGCTCGTCAAAGTGGTGGCGCCAGAAACGTTCCCGCACCGGTCGGCGCACCTAGTATGCCAACATGCCACCACCACCAAATCTGATGCTTTGCGCAGTAGAAGCGTGCTCTTGGCCATATCTCATCAAGAGTGTCCCGGTATCCGCCGTTGCATAGGCAGAGCGCAGTACGAGGCACATCAACAACATGCACCGCCAACTTCCAAGTGCTTGCTGCGCTTCTATGGTTGTGGTGATGATGCTGCTACTGCTGCTGCTGAGCTATCGGGCGGTGGTGGCGACAGCTGGCGACCCGTAATATCTGCGGTGTGGAGGAGCCGTCCATTCTTCTGGCTGACGTTCAGCGCGCCAAACAAACGTCCATCTTGGGTTCGGCCAATGGCTTCCCTGTGCAACGGCAACGGTAGCGACCAATCCAGAGCCACCATGTCGTCGGGTATCAGCGTTGGTCCCACTGGATGGATCCCCTGAGCATCTATTCGTTGTCTGTCGTCTCATCGTGTTCTTCTTCCACGTCTTTGACAGTGCTGTCGCAGCATCTTTCGAAGGCGGTCCGTTGCTCTGCATATTTCCAGATGCCCGGGTGTGAGACAAGCTGCGCAGCGCGGTGCTGGGTACACTGACTGGACGCTGCCCTCTGCTTTCGCTGTGCCGTGTGCTAAATCGGACTGGGCCGAACCGGACTGATCTGGACTGGACTGGACTGGACTGGACTGGACTGAATTGGACTTGGACAGGGCCTGTCGGACTTGACAGGCTCAAACTCGCCTGGTCTGTGTTGCTTGCCCCCCCGTACTTCGCCCCGCCATACGGATAGAGCGCAGGGAAGAACGTGCGGCACCGGGCGCGGCGCTTTTATGACAGGATAGAGGGGTAATAGTGTGGATGGTGGAGGAGGATGAAAGGGTGATAATGTACTGTGTAAATGAAGCTTGGGGCGCTAAATGGCAACAAAATTGAGGTAATGAAAGCCAGCAATTTGCAACTTCCCCGCCATCAAAGGAACCGGATATAAATCAACAATGCGGCATGAAGAGTGCAGGGCAGAGCAGAGCAAAAGAAAAGGAAACGTTCTTGGTCAAACTTACGGTGGTGTCTCGGTGGTAATAATGGGCTTCAGGCTCTCCTTCTTGCGCTTCTTAGCCGCCGTCGACGAACCATTGGCGTTGGCAGCAGCATTGGCATTGGCGGCTGCTGGCTGCAATGGCTCTTGCGCGACAGCGTCCTGGGTCTGTTGAGTGCCGTTCATGATGGGCTGTGTGGAATGTGCAAGCTGGAATGCGAGGTGTCGTCCGGGTCGGGTAGTGTGGGGGACAAGTTGGGGGGGGACAAGTCGAGCTCGAGAGTCCAGACTGGCAGTTCGAGAGCGGCGGTGCGCGCCGCTGTGACGGCCTTGGATTGGTGATACTTCGTCCTGTGATGAGCAGACTAAGCTTGGGTGTCCGATTGCAGCGCAGCGACTTGAAGCAGCTGTGCGCAATGCCAATCCGCTATTCCCGTCTGTAATGGCTGGCCTTGCGCCTCGATTGGTATGATATCAGACAGCTTGACAGTCGGTGCAGGTAGTTCCCGCGTAAAGATGACAGTCGGACAAGTCGGGCTGCCGGTCGTTGGCAGTAGTTGGTGGGGTGAGAGAGAAAGTCAAGAGACACGAGCCGGAGAGGTCGAGGCGGGGGAGTGAAGACCAAAAATGACGAGCGGGATTTTGCGAGAGGGGCGCAGCGGCAGCGTCGATGTGCGATGGCGACCAGGAGCGTGGCGACAGGCTCCACGGAGGAGCAAAGAGGAAGTGTGTAACTGGATCTAAGGTGCGTCCAGTTACTAGCAGCACGCGGGTCTACGACAGCGATTCATCAGATGTGTTGCGCTGTGTTGAGATGGGATGCGACGGGGACGGTTGTGGTTGGAGACCCTTAGACTTGCGCGATATCCTAACGATGATGGTGGTCGTGATTGTAGTGTTCTCGGAAGCCGGGTGGGGGTGGTTGATTAGGGATTGTGGCTCTTGGTTGCGATGTGATCAGGCGATTGCGTTCTCGTGAGGAAAGCTAAGGTAGTCTCGATATTGTGAATGTTTGTGATTGTCTTGGTGAAACGAGCTGGTGAAATTCGGAAGGGAATGATGTCGCGACCAGGTGGCCAAGACGGAAGGCGCGAGCGGGTGAAGCAGGAGGGCGGGCGATTGGTAGAAATATGGAGTGTGACTTTGGACTATTCCTTGCGGTGTATGTGGACGGCGTGCAGTGTCGAGAGAAAACGAAAAGCTGGGAATGAGTCGGGCAAGATGGGTCGCGACACGAAGTCTTTAGGTGCAGATAGGCGTGGTCTGAGCTTGGGGGATGTGAAGAGCGACCGGAAGATGACGAGGTTCGGTAGTCGGGGTGACGCTGGCGACTGGCGTTCATGTAAAGGTGGTAATTAAGGTAGGTGTCTGTCGTGTAAGTTAGAGGCAGAGGAGGTTGGAGAGGTTAGGGTGATGGTGAGGTATCTGCAAGGCCAGGCACGAAGCTCTGATTGGAGGAGGGAAAGTATTGCTGAGGGTGAGGAGCCAACGCAGGATGGTGGCTGCTAAGGTAAGAACCGGGAAGAAGGTGCAAGACACGGCGAGGTCGAGCGAGGTGATGCGGATGCGGATGCAGAGGGGGGCAGGATGGGATGGGGGCGATGGGATGCACAAGGCAATGGAACGGATGGATGGATGGACGGTGGGGATTAGAGCAGGGCAATCAGAGAGAGGTGGCGTCTCAGTTCGAGTCGAAGGTCAAGAGTTGCGGCAATGAGGGTAAGGAATTGATTGAATCAATCAGGGCCTCTTTCTCTCTGTACTTCGTAGGTAAGGTACCTACACATCGAACAGCGCAAAGGTGAGGTGAAGCAAGGTAGGTAAGTATCCGTACCTTGGCCCGAATCCGCTCTACAAGGAGCTGAGGACGTCATTGATGGGGTTGTTGGGCGCAACACGACGGATGAGAACTTGAATGCGACAAGCAGCTGATGCGACCGAGTCGCCGACCGCAATTGGTGACGGCAGATGGTGGGGGTGGAACTTGGAATTCGGAACCGGGGGGAGAGAGAGAGAGAGGGGGGGGAAAGCGACTAACAGAGAGAAAGAAAGAGAGAGAGAACAATGGATGAAGAACAGTCAAATCACTTCAATCGGGTTAATAAGTCCCCAACAGCCCAGAGAAACAAGACCTCACTTGCTGATTGTCTAGCTAGTCTCCCGTTTATCTAGGTAAGTGACATGAGATGAGTGGAAGATGCCATCTCAGGACAGGCAGGTGGTCCTTCCTTCCATTAATCACCTTGGAGGTACTGCGTACTCCGTACACATCGTTTACCTGGATAGAAGCAGTGCGCCCTCTAAGTCTACAGGTATGATTGAATCAAATCGCCAACGAATCCTAAGGTAGCCGTCGAGTAAGGTAGCCAGCAGTGAAGATAACTTTGCATGCAGTCATATCGACTTATCAATATTGCAGTCTTTCATGTGCCTGGCTGGTATCGAGACATTCTACAGTTGACTGGGTTCGTCTTCCATGTATTATGTGTTCGGCGCATTCAAGCATTTCCATTCCATGAGAATCAACTGAGGTGGAAGGTGCCTTACCTTGGAGATAAGATAAGGCAGATATTCCTGCTTCCATTCCATGGAACCTAATCGATAAGAAGGTCAGATCGCAGTCTCCACTCTTCACTTGTGACCCCTGCCGTCTTCCATTCCATTAAGGTGCTACCTTACACAGTAAGGCACTTTTCCTCACCTTTACGGTCAAGAATTGGCGTGGGACACCCTGTGAGAATTTCCATCTGAAAGACCTGGAGCCCAAGACCTCACGACCCAAGTCCACCACACCGGCTTGCCGTACTGAGAGGTCCCGGCAGAACCAATCACACCTTGCTCTCTCGCTGACGCATGCCATCATACCTATCCTCACTAGCCACCGGGAAAGTCAGTGGGGTTTCTTTACTTTATCTCAAGTGCCTCCAGTCAAGTCTGTATTTACTTTATATCCGTTCAGAGGAAGGAAACACTCTAAGGTATCAAGACTCCGAGCGCTGACTTCATCTCTTAGCCATGACAGAAATCTGATGTCCCCTGGACGTTACTGACCGACGGCCTTTCATCGAGCAATCCATCTACGACATGTTCTAGTTCTCTACTCCGTACCGATGGTCCAATGGCCAAGTCCACCGACGCCCCGTGGGAGACGCATTCCCTGTCTAGTCAAGGTACTGCGCAACATAGCCAGGGCCCAGGGCACGCAACACATGCTGCAACGCAGCAAAGCGGCCAACGCCCCCGATGTCGTACAGACCTGATCAGACTCGACACTCGACACTCGGCACTCGATGCAAACAGTTACTTGGGCGTTCTCAATCCGCTCGAGTCGTACCCAACGTCCTGAGCACTTGTGGCACCATCATCATACCCGACTCTCGGGTTCAGCCCATCCTGAGCTTTCTTTAACTAACAACACGACTCTTTGTCACTCATCGGTTGCGGAACATATATGGCGGCATCGCCTAGCTTGTGAACAGGTCGCAGTCTAAGCTCCGGTTTCTGATTCTTTTCTCATTGGATGCAGTCTTCCCCCACGAGTAAAGAGACCAACCAACGTCTGCAGGCTCTCCCCTTGTCCACTTGACCCATCCCGCACGAGTCGAGAACACCTACAGCAGACATTTTCCTTGCATCTTGACCGCATCTAACCCGTCCGCTGGGCCCGATGAGAGAAGAAAAAGTCTGTCGAGCTTTGATCTTGAATTTTTTTTCCAAGGGTTTCGAGAGTTCCATGGCCACCCAACGTCGGGTAGTGGTTGTTTTAGCCATCTCTCAAAGACACGCAATACCTGCCCCTGCTGCCGTACTCATATGGTCAAGAACCGAAGTGGCATTGTGTCCATCTTGTTTCTTCTCCTTTTCTCTACCTCCTGCCTCGCCTCCAAACTGCCCATATTTCATCTGATAATCATCATCTCGTTGGCCAGCGCTGTCAGTCACAGGGCTAAGTCGAGGTGCTTGCGGCTTGTCCAGGCACCGCCCCTTATTGGACGTGCCTGTTTCTACTCGGCGCCTATTGCGGGAGGAGTCCTAGACATGCAGTCCAGAGCACAGCAGCCCATCCCTAGCGTTTTCTTTCCCCTTCATGATCACTCCATGCCAACTGTGACCGCGAGAGGTACACCCCGCACGTCCATGTGAGCACCTCATTGGGACTGTTCTGTCTGTCACCTGTCACGTATCATCCACCACAGTAGAGCCTCAAACCCAACGTGAATCTACTTCGAGAAACCCACTTGGCTTGCCTACCATCCATCGCCAGCGCCATGTCATGTGTCGCGCCCTACAAAGGTGGAACAACACATGGTAATGTCAGGAGCTTGGGCCCGCTCATCGTCGTTGTCACCATGAAGCCGCGTTTCCCCGTTTGACAAGACCGAATTCCGTCTACTGCAGGGCTGCCGCATGCTGTGTTTGAGAAGACAAGCTGTGCCACTATCAACCCAGTCTTGGCACACTTGTTTCTGGGCTAGTCACCCGGATCTGTGCCCCGACAATTCAAGATTACGCATCTCACTGCCGTACTCACTTTGTCAACGTCTCATCCTCTGTGGTGCGAAGGAAGTTGCTAGGGCTTCCTGCAGAGCGCACTGCTATTTCCGAGCTTGGCGATGTCTTGCTAATCAACTCAGCCTCTCTCTGCTAATTCGGGCTTCATTCTCAAGTGAGACGTGTGGGAAGGACCTGAGTTGCTCAGAGTAGGCAGTGCAATCAACAAAACAATGGCTTGTTCTCATCTTGTGGAACCATGGCAACAAGGTTCTTCGACAACGGACTCGTATCTCAAGAGCCCAAGACTTGAATGGCGAGCCGTTGAAGACAGAGTCTTTGTAGAAATTTCGACTTCTTTGGCCGTCCCTTGTTCGCAAAATGCCAAATTTGTGGTGGCATCTTTCGACCTACGTGAAAGGCGAGTGGCACAGCAGAGAACACAGTGGCGTGCCTTTCTTTAATCGTCAACATCATAATTCGATGCCTTCCAATTGTGATTCAGACTATATGTTCGGGGAGGGCCCTTCGTAGATAGAGGATTTCCGATTTACATACCATAGACCTTCTTCACTTCAAATCAAACATTCTTATTGTACAACATTACCTATACCTTTGTATTTCCCACCTCAGTTGAATACTCTCACACGACACCCCGTTTAAAACACAGTATCTTTGACAGCATGGGTTTGCGT